GCTGGCAGCCTATAAAATAGGAATATTATAGGGGTATAGAGAGCAGAGAGAGGTAGAGAAACGCGAGATATACGCGCCATGGGCGAGCTTCACTAGCGCGTGATATAGAGCGGTGTATACTATAATGGAAGGCGGTACAAAGGTGGGGCCAAAGGGGGTGTTAAAACTTTTGCGTAGTGACTGTATTAAGGCCGCAGAGCCCGTTTCGTTTGTATCCTTTTTAACCCCCCTGAAAGATTTTGGTACCCGTGAAATCCATCGATTGAATAGTATGGAGCTGCTGCCTACCGAAATCTTTTTATATTTATTATTAAACGTCATTGGAATCCTAAGTACTATTGGCTATCTTTTAAAGTAGAAAAACGATATCATTGCTTAGCCAGAAGACTTCTGAGATAGGACCTACGATCAGTCTATTGACATCTGAATTACACCTGAATATACAAGCAAAAAAAATTATCCTCAAGACTACAAATCACAGACCCCGTAATCGCTTTGACCGACGTGGCGTATATTTGACAGTGCACGCATTCATTTTGCCTGATCGTCCTTTACCCCTCTGCGGCTCCCTAGGCTGCTCTTCTAGGCGCCCTCTTTTTCGAGACGAGCGCGTCGCATGCTGTGATAAAGATTCCAGCCTAGGGCCAAGTTCTGGATATGCCGCCTGTGTGGCTCCCCTCGTCACTCTCCGTGTAGAAATCTCCGCCAACTTTGAATCGGTGCTCGTTGTTTGACATCCAGAAGAGGAGACGGAAATGTCAATTCTTGACAGGCAGATTGATGGCTTCACGACGGTGGTAGGGCCGGGTCTCATCAATCGAGGATCAATATTTGTCATATCAAAATCGACAGAGGAGGCGGGAGTTTCAGTGCCTTGCCCGATTCTCAGATTCCATAGATGTTTCCCTGGAAGAACCGTCATCGTGGCTAACCCGTGGCCTTTCGGTGAGATGACATAGTTTGATACTGACATCATATTTGTGTTCATTATTAGCATGGGCTAAGAATTCGGTGATTTTGGCAAACTTGGGAAGATCGAGACAGACTTCCCAGTTACAGCTAATCCCGTCGTATGCATGAACCAGATGCGAGTCGATGAGATGACGACGAAGTGAGTCCGGTCGCTTCGAAGGAAATTTATGTGGAGGCGGGTTCGACGCCGAGCGACGAGACTCACCAAAACAGATGATGCAAACATCCGTTGGACATATTTGTGTATTATCATCAGACGCCAGTTGCTCGGGCTGTTCAATAGGGATGTTTACCTCTTCATCGAAATCCCAATTGACACGGTTGCCTCGCCTGCTCGGCTCGCAAAGCAGTAGAAGCGCAACCATGTCCTTGGTAACCTGGATGTGTCGAGTAAGTAATTTGTCCTCATGAAAGTCTTCTGCGTCAGGGCCGTAAAAGTTCTCCACAAGCCGAGCTCGTTCAGGAAATACGTAGCCCGGGATAGGGAGCTCCCAGTCTTCTTCAGCGGAACTATCAGCATCGCGTTCCTGAACATCAGATTCGCCGAGAAGCATTTGCTTGATCTGTCGGTCAACTTCAAGCACGGGGGCATTATTGAAATAGTCCTTTCTGGCTGTCTCGCGAGTTTCGATCGCCAACGTTTTCCGAAGTTTGGCCATGTCTTTTTTGACGGTCTCATGCCTTTGGAAGAGGTGTGGAAAGGTGTCACGGGCGTTCTTGATTGTGCCAGCCACGGACCGCATCTCCGCCATAAGCTCTCTTTTCTCGCGTCTCAGTTGCAGAATTTCAGGGTTCTGGCAAATGGCACGTTTATGAGCTTCGGTAAGATCAGATGGTGCCGATAAATCTCTCTTCCTAAGCATACTCCCAGCGAAGCGTACCAGACCTTCTTGGGAGGGTCGAAGAAGAACGACATGCTGAAGGTCGCGCGCAATAAATTGTGATCGGTAATGTTTTTCAAACACCGCGTCACCAGACTGCCCGAGCACCCTTTGTCGCTCCTGGCTGGTAAAATTTTCTGCGAGTAGATAGTTAGCTTCGTTGCGAGAGATCCCATCTATCATGGCAAAAATGAATCCATCATCTCGCGTTCAGCAAGTGACATACTGTTGACTTCATTTGCCGTCCAGCGGCGGAAATTATAATGCCCAATATCGTATTCGAATCTAGCATCTCGACCTAACTCCTTGAGCGCCTGCCGACTTGAATCATAGGTCATTGGCAAAAGCTCCATCGCGGAAAGCGAACGCAATGATCTGAGCTATCGGGCAATAGGCCAGTTGAAAATCGCCGTGCATGAAGAATTTGGTTCTGTAGGCAAGGATCAGTGTCGAAGTTGGTTCATGAGAAATTCGAATCAAAATTTCAGCTTACCCATCAGCGCCTTCCGGTCGACCTTTGAGATTGCGAAACTCGATGATAGCACAGAGGACATCACGTTTACTTTGAAGGTCTTTCAGATAGAAAAGTTCGATATCGCGATAGCAGACCGAGCCCGGAAGATCTTTCAAGGAAATGTGCTTTGGAAGATCACTCTGGAAGGTGTCATCCCGTTTGCGTTTGCCCAAAACTGGATTGCCAGGCGACGAGGTGTCTTGAGGAAGTAAGACGCCAGGTCGCGTGCCTGTTATGGCGGACCAGAGCTGGACTGTAGCAAACTGAACAATCATGCTCCCGTGACGAAAGAATCTCGAATGGACCCAGTGATGCCGGTAAATCACACCAAAAGCATCCACATCCAGAGTATTTTTGTCCTTTGTTCGTCGGGGAATTTTGCGCTCAGCTGGGAATACACCCGCGAGAAACTTTTCTAGGGTAAGAATACTCTGTTTAAGAACAGACAGGATATAACTTACTCGTCGCATCTGTTGACGGGCATCCTCACCGACGCGGCGACGGGCGAAGAGCTCGAAGTATTGACAAAGGCGTCGCCAGTATTCATCATACGACTGAAGCAGTTTCTTTCGTGATGCTTTGAACATCCAATCAAAAAAGTTCATGTAGATCGTCTGATCCTCCAAAAGAAGAAAGTCCACATAGTCCTCGTTCGATTGAATGCAAAATCTATTATTCTCAGTCACAAGACTTTTCCCGACCAAGTGAGCACTTACTTTCGCCAATAACGTTCGACGACAGCAATGCCTTCCAAGGTCTTTGGCTTGAAGTTTGGAGGGAGCCATCCAAGACTGCGAAAATGTTCCAGTCTGGCTCGAGTTTCTTCGCAAAGAATGGGATCGGTCCAGTATTGGTGCTCATCAGTTTGAGCCGGATATACAGGCGCAGGTGACATGGAGGCGGTCGGATACAAAGTCTAGGGTGGAAAATTTGTGTTGTGGGAAACGACAACGTCAAGGTCGCCTTGAAGCGTGGGCAACGAGGGTGAGAAAATGGGAGGTGCAATGACACCGGAAGGGAGGGAAGGCGATGCATCTTATAGGCGCTCAAATGGACTGGGCGAAAAGGGAGGGGAGCCATTTTCGGCGTCGTTTTGGTCGCCAGTGGAAACGAGGGGAACAACTGTGCAAGTCGAGCGTCAACATCAGGACCGGAGGATGACTAAAAGTACTGGGTGGGTGCAGAATAGTGGTGTTACAGGGCAGTGGGCGGTCAAGGGGCGGCTGGACGTCCAAAATTACGGGTGGAAAGGCAGCCGTTTCTGGCCTCAAAAGCGGTCATTTTCGACCTCAATCCCACAGGTCCTCATATTCTATGTGTAATTGAATATACCGTTGCCATGCAGCTTTTTGATTTACTTGATCGTTATACAACTGCAAGATTTAGAATCCTTATAAGCAACCATAAAGTGACAATCAGATCAAAGAAGAGCGTTGTCGTTGAGATACGTTGAAAAATGCCTGTCCAGAGACGAATACGTCGAAGTGCATGGTGGAATGTGAGATGTACATTGAAACATTTGTAGAAGATAGCCTCTAGGCTATGAAATGTGGCAATCCCACAGTTCTTATGAGGGTTTGGAGGTGGCCGCTCGCATGTGAAACATGTTATCCACCATCAGATGAGGCAGAGAGACAGGCTTTATATGTCCTTCCAATTGAAGAAAACCCCATCTGCAGCTATCAGGCAGAAGTGCAGAATGCAAGGCGGACTACATGACCACCTAGAATATAACCTTTTCAAATGCTTCTTGTAGCCCTCTTTTCCCTAACCACGCTTCCAGCGCTTGCATATCACCCCGATTGGCCCGCTGGCCACCTCGCTCTCCTAGCGAGTCTGTGATTTCCTCCATCCCCGAAAAGACTCTCTGAACATCCTCTGTCTCTCGAAACCTCTCGCTGACTTTTTTCTGATGGCTAGGAATATCACCCCAGGAGTGTGTCTTGATGAAACTCATATAAGAGTCGATATCAGATGATGCACCCTCAAGACACAATACGCCCGGCTTGCCCGCCAGCACAAAGCCCGTCAGAGCATATCCTGGTGCGAGGTTGACCATGTCATCTCTCTTTTTACGGGTTGACAGGGATGGGAAATAGAACCAGACTCGGACAGTTGGCCCCCTGTCTGTATCTTTCGGAGTCACGGTCTGGGACTGTTTGCTTTCAAGGAAGCGGCTGGCTTCTGCTTGGATGTATTCGAATGCCTCTAAAGCATCAGCACCTTGCGGTATTGAGGCAGTAAGTCCCGCAACTTCGGCTCTGGACATCCACTCGGGTTGTCGAACCGAATAGCCCAATGGCGGTGAGTGGTCAAGTGTCTCTGGATTATCACATTGCAGCGGCACGGAAATGTTCACTTGAATGATTCTGCCTCCTTCTGCAATTGGTAGACAGACAGTGAGAGAGATGCTTGAAGGGAGTTTAGGAGGTGTGGAAGTCGGATTTTCGCACCAGTCGCGGAGTCTCTCCACACACTGCGTTGTGAATTCCGGGATTTCCAGCTCGCCCGGAGACGGGAACATCGCCATTAGAAGGTCAATCGTGGACAACTGTGACTCCGTGATGTCCACCGGTAGAAAACATGATTTTTCAAAAGTCATCTTGTTCACTGCAGATGCAAGAGTCATCAATATCGAAGAACATTCATAAAATCGAGTGCTGAGTGATTTTTGAGCTGGATAAAATCAGGTATGTGCGGGATAAGCAATCGTGGTTCTTGTTTGTAGGCGTTGAAACAAATTTACTAGAAGAGGCACAGTGATACAAAGAGTTGGACGGTTGAAATTTTGAGCACGTCTGTTTTTCGACATCATCAAGTTCAAGTCTCGAAATTGCCTCTCTTGGATGCAGGGCCGACCTCGGGGATATAATTATTATGTAATCACCTCCCTGATCCATCCGTGGGGCTGTATCCTACGGCAGTCTATCACTGTCAGTGCGCCTGTTCAGATTCCTGTACGGAGTAGGATGATATATAACAAAAGTCAAAATATGAATATTTAGCTATATATGCCGCATTTCCTCAGAAGGGGGGCAGTTTCCTAGATATCTTCATTGTGTCGATTTGAGCCTCTCGCCTACAACACATGCGCAAGCTACACCAACAAGAATAGGCGGCCGCTTATGCGGACTTGTGGAGTCTTTGCAGATGTCCGCTTTTGTCCCCATTCTCAGTTTCGCAGATGGACGGCACCAAAAAAACGAAAAGGATACAACTTATACCAATAACAAAAAATCTTCTAAAAACACTGCTAGAAAGACTTAAAGAACAGTACGAAACCAGGCGTCCCAAAGATTACATAAGCGGGCGACTATTCTTGGCCTTGTAGTTCTAGCCAAGTGGTCTAATCTTTTAGTGTCTCCATGGTAGCGGGGGTCTGAGCGTTTAGAATATCGCCGCTACCCCAAGGTCCTCCAAGATGCTTGGCGACTAGACTGCGACATCGCCCGTCACGGTGGGCGGTGGGCTATTTAGATTTTCGAGTACCCGTCCATTAGACTACGACAACACCCATTAAAGTGGAGACACTTTTAGCGTCGCCAAGATATATGCGGGCACTCATGGCAAAGTGGATACTGCCAAGAACTGATTAGTTATGTATGTTGTATATAAAATAGCCTAACTAATAGGGTAATTTTTGCATTATTTTTGCACAACAGTGGGCGATGGACGTCAAATTTCAAAAGGCCCACGGGCTGTGGACACTTCCTAGTGCCCATGGACGGGCGATGTCGCAGTCTACCGTCCATAACGCCCACGGCCCACGGGGTTACCTTTCAGTCATGCCCACTATACCCACCATTACATAAAGTTACCTAAAATGGACGTATAACTCGCTAACTTTATATAATAAATAACTATTCTGTATACCTATTTGACTAACTCTATGTAAAATCGCGGTTTTTGATCTATGGTATCTATAAATTTTACTAAAATATCGAAGTATATATGTAAATGTAACTAACTATACGTACCGGATTTTCCCTGGTGGGTGGGGCTTTCCTATTTGAGCTGCCGCTTTTATGAGGGTGCTCAGGCTCACTGAGTAGATGTGAGCACGGGCTCAGATTAGTGATCATGCTCAGTTCAGTCACGTGCAGAATGACTGATGCTCAGTAAGTGCTCAGTGAGTGCTCATTGGATGCTCACTGATTACTCAGTGATGCTCAGTGTCCAATCAGTGAGCAACACTGATGCTCTCAGCACGCCGCAGGCTATACCCAGAAGGGATTAGCCCCATAGGGTAGTTCATACCGTGATAGTTAAGTCGTTGATGGCATTGCTGCTGCCCTCATTTTTTGGAGCACTACATCCCACCAAGAAGATACGTCATGACCAAGTGGCGCAGGAAAGAGCGGAGAACTCCGTCCGTTTCAGGATGTTGTCTCCCTCTGTCTTCTAATTGAGAGCGGCTCGAGCTCAAAGTCTTGGATATAAAAGCAGACCGTGTGCCAACACTAGTATGTAATTATCCACACGCCTTCTATTCAAAAATCTTTTACCTGGTACCCTGATCTAATATCGCGATCTTTTATTTTGAATACATCCCCTACCTCCAGGCCGTACCGCACTTGATTATGGGCAGAAAAGACTTTTTTGCTAAGCGCGATGAGATTGCTGAGACGAAACGTCGTCTACAGCGGGAAAGGAATGGCTATGTCCCTGGAGCCCATAGACAGGAGGACTTAATTTGGGAGAAAGACAAAAGGCTTCCCAAGACCAAAAGATTGCATTATGAAACTATAAATCTTTGGCTGAAGTGAGTTAAGCCGCATCTGAAGTGGCAATCCCTTCCCGTTCATGAATAAAGCAGACATTCCCTTAGTTTCACTGTAGACCCAGAAAATGGGTTTGAATATTAAAAAACTTCCCTTAGTTGTCCGGCTCCAAGTCATGAGATGATCAAGGAATTCATCCGCTGGTACACAAGTTCCATTCAAGGACGACTGAACGAGGATGAGCTACCCACGGTGAGAACCGTGAGTGCGCATGCAGAACGATTCTTTGATGGATTTGAACAATTCACAAAAACTAAAATCGTCCCAGATGATCGAAAGGAAATAAAAGCGGTTGGTTTACTCGCCATTTCCCCTCTGAGATAATCATAAACAATTCTAACCTCGAAATAGTGGATTAAAAAAAACTTGACAGCAGATGGCATCTTGTGGACCAAAAGAAGGAGAAGCTCAACTTCACAAGGCAGGATTTTCTGAGAACAGTCTCGTCTTTGTGGCAGACAGATCACCAAACATGTATTCCTGGGTTGCTCAAGGTCGTCATCTTGTTCGCTCTTCAACTGTACCTCTTTACTAGAGCAAGAGTCGGGTCTTTCATACCCTCCAGCGAGGACAAACATGAGAGGGGTATCTTCGATACAGGCTGCGAAGTGATAACCTGAGGGAACACATTGAAGGGCAGCACTTGGCTAGGATTTGGAATTGTCAGACAAAGCCGCTATGCGGATGCTCTCAAACCTTCAACAGTGAGCGTGACCTTCGGCATCACTTGCACGACGCGCATGGGCTAAAAGAAACCATATGGCAATATCCAAAGCTACCCAATAAGAGAAAGCGCGCTTGCAAGGGGGAGTCACAAAGCTGTTCAACAGAACCAGAAGAGGAGCGTCCTAAAAAAATCCAATTCCATCACTACCTACCTCCACGTCATGAACGTGAGCACTGTGTGTCAGAAAAATCATCTGCCACCGTCCCGGCCTTGCTTTCGCTTGTCGGAGAAAATCAGGAACAATCCTCCCGCCATAGTATGTGTGACAAATCCAGCATGAGCAACAGAAGCAACTCACTGGAACTATGCTTCTCGGAGGCAGGTTCTCCACTCAGCTCGGGGCCAACAACACCAGGTCTTGAGGCTATCGATCCTCGAATCATAGAGCCTTTTGAATTCAATAAGGAGGATGCACGCCAATCTTGTGATCAAGCTGCTGTTCAGCTGAATTCACTTAATCTCCCACCAGAAGAGGGCGAAATCACAAAAAGGTCTGTCAGTGGCATAGAATAGCCGCAACCTCCCACCCCAAGCTTTGCCAGTCAGCCTCCTGGACACTGTGCTGTCAATGAAGCGAACGAGGAGAGGAAAGTCTTGCAAGATTGTAATGACAATCTATTATTTAAATATTTATGCCATAATTTACGCAGAAACTGGGTCGAACTGGGGCTATACTAGGTTTTCTGGGGCCCCAGTCACTGGATCTGGGTTGGGCCTAGGTTATGAGGTTTCGAACCAAACTGGGTCGTGCGGAAGTCTAACTGTGCCATTCATTACCGAGCTACGAATACCTCCATAGTTGTGCTATTTATTATGGCCTACTCATTCGTCATGCCAGAATCCCGCTTTATAGAAAACCTCAAAACTCTAGAAACAAATTCCAACAGGGTGCTCCTGATCTTCTTGGCAGCTGCTCGCATAACCTTTTGAGCATTTGGTAGGTAGATACACGGGCGGTGTGATAGGTGAGTCTCAAAGAGTCGTCAATTGTGTTGGTCTCTTCGAGAGATTTCCATGTCCCTAAAAAAAAATGGGTTCCAACTTTCCAAATGATCTGCTTGTGGCTAAGACTTCTCACGAATGGTATATGGATTGAGGACCAGAAGTACCTTCAGAGTCCGTACCTGAATTTAAGCCAAAGTCACGGATGCGCCCGTGCGGGGAACGGGCCGAGATCCTTTTTATCGGTTCCACTTTGGAGCCGTGAGGCTCCGCCTTGCCTTACACGGGGAGGGTACTATTTGTGGAATTGATGGTTGCTAGAACGAATTATTCGGTCCTAGAATGCATTTCATAAACATCAGTTGCCTACATTGCCTAGGTGTTTCCTCCCCCCCCCCCTCTCCCCCTCCCTTGGCCGTCACATGCCTGACTAATTCATGCTGGGCCACTTTTTGACTAGCTATGTGTCCTCTTTGCCTCCGCCTTTGATTTGGCTGCATCGAGTGACGGCAGAGAATTTGGGGAGGGATATGGCTCGGCTACCAAGGATTCCCATGATTCATGGGTCACCAACCTTTGCCAGGCAACCAGTAGGCGAGCAATCCCCTGTATGAGAAGTCCTCACCATGAACTGGAGGGAACATGAAAGGGCACGTTGATTAAACAAAAACGATTCTCGAGCAAGTCGTTTGACGTTTTCTACATCTTGAGATAATAGGGCAAAAATCAAAGGGGAACAAGAACCATTGATGCTGAATGATTTATTTTACAAATGAAAGGCTCTATGTAGTCTGTATATATCTATTGGGCCCAATTAAAATTTCCTGCCGATGCACATCAGATACATCACACAACATTGATGGTTTTTGATACATGGGGCACAAAAATGCCCAACCCCTCCAAATGCCACAAGTCTGCAACATAGGGCTATTCTGTAACAAGGGAGTCGCTTATTCTTTCTTGGTCTCCTTCAGCTCCGACGACATTGGTGCTTGGGCGGGCTTATTCGCCCCAGAGGGGGTCTCGAGTGCTGATGCGGCTGCCATCCGAGATTTCTTGTGCTTATCACGTTTCTCCATGATGTAAGTCCAGCTCTTACCAAGGCCTGCAGTAAACGGTGCTTTGATCGTTTGGACAGTACTTGGCCAGCGGATTGTCTTCTCAATAGACTTGGAGACCTCTTCCTGAAGGTGGTCATCCCCAGAAATCCGTCGCTCAAATGAACCGCCTTGAGGCCGACGAAGAACCTCGTCCGAATCCTTACCCTCCTGGATCATTTTATCGAAATCGGCTTGAGGGATCTCATAGCGAGACTGATACTGGAAATACAGCTTTCGCCGGAAAGATTCAGGCAAGCGACGAACCATGTTACCACGCATCACCGGATCCATATCTTGCGCCATGGCTAAGATAGCATTCGGGTCATCAATCCAATCCTCGATGCTGCAGCGGGGGTCTTGGAAAGTAACATTGGGAAGATTTTCGATGAGTGGTGCGTAGAGCCGGCGGAAGTGCGCCATTTGCCCTGAAACAATATTTCGCACCTTGCTGGGATCCTCTGCGGGGAGAGCCATGCGCAAATCTCCCATATAACTCATACCCGCGATTGTGCTATAGAGCTCGAACTCACTGAATCTTTCTGGCAGTAACAGCAGTGCGACACGCAAAGCAGACAACAAATTCATCTGGTTGGCCAATCGCACCTTCGGGTGGTCCCGCAAGATCTTGACAGGCTTTTGCAGACGACCAGCGAGATACATGGTGTCCCACTGCGTGAGATCTCGACATAATGTATCCAGGTTCACCACACCGTATTTGATCATCGTCCCATTCACGGTGATATAAGGATGGAAGTACACTCCCGCGCCGAAGCGGTCCTGTACTTGGGAGACTGTGTACGACCCGAGCGAGCCTAATGCAGAGTAGTGATCACGATTTTGGTTAAGATTGATAGCATGCCAGTGCTGGGAGTATGAAACTCCGAAAATGAAGTCAATCATTTTCCCGGACCCCTTTTGCATGTTTTGGATGGCTGTAGGCGCCGAGGGGTGCAGTGAGCTGGACGGAGCTCCGCTGCCATTTTGCGCAAAAACACCTGACCCATAGGCAAATGCGTATCGGATTGGTGCTTTGAACTGCCAAAGGATCATTCGCAATGCCTCCTTGAAATCTTGGTTTATGATCATGTGCTGGTTGACTCCAAAATCCTTGGAAGGAAGCTCCGAAAAATTTGTGATTGACAAGTCCGGATTTTCGTCCCAGTTTTCGGGTAGCATCAAGGATGAAGACGTCGAGAACGAGGAGGAGGATGACTTGTTGGTGGTCACTTTGCACAGCAGATGCGACTTTGAAGCCCTGTTATTTGCCGAGAGTCGGCCATTGTAGGGAGTAATCGGATGACAATCGAATGATAGAAAACGCTCTGTAGAAGGAAGAACACCTGAGGGTGAGAGAAGAGTGCGTGAGCGCCAGAGAGAGCTGGGGTTAGCTCCTCGAGAAGCAACCATCTAGAATGTAAGTTGTAGCGAGACCATTGGATACAGTGGGGGATCTGACATACCGTGACTACCGGCATGATTGGAGTTCGGATAGAGAAAACTGGGGCGCGTAGCGCAATTCTTAAGTCAATTCAAACAGCCCGCATAGAATGCAAATGAGTTAATTGAAGTGAAGTGAATTTGGGTGCTCCGTCAACATTTCCGGCTCTGACGTACTCCCCGTCCTGCTCCGCATCTAATTCGGGTGCTGAGTAATGATCACGTGGACGCGTCGAAGACGCATAACAACCAAAAGTCAACAGACGCGGAGGATCAACAACATCGACTCCTTCGATAATTTTTGCCTACTTCCGCCACGAAAGATCACCTCACATGTCGGGCGTAGGTCCTGATTATCTCTGATTGCCCTGATACCTCGCCATGGTCTCTGAAATGGATACATTTGCGGCCCGCCTAGCCAGCTTTGACATTGTGCTAAAGCCAGAAAAACGCAGATCTTCTGGCACAAAAACGCCCAAAGCGATTACATGGCCACACCAGCGACCTTCACCGGCTGAGGTATGTCATTCTTCGCAGATGTTACACACGCCCATTCCATGGTGATTGACTTCGCGGGATTCTAGTTGGCACACGCCGGATTCTATTACAAACCATACGAAACAAATCCAGACAACACAACTTGTTTCGAGTGCCACCGGGCGCTTGACGGCTGGGAGGAGGATGATAACCCCATCACAGAGCATCTCAAACATGCGCCCGACTGCGGGTGGGCCATTATGATGGACCTCCAACAAAGCAGTTCTAACCCCGCATCGATTGAAGACCCTACGGGCGATCGGATCACACAAGCGAGACTGGCAACATTTGGTACAGCATGGCCTCATGACGGGAAAGAGGGCTGGGTTTGCCAGTCAGATAAGGTAAGGCGCCGCTGCACCGTATCCAAATTCTCTTGGCTCACAACGAAGATAGATGGTTGAAGGCGGATGGTATTTCTGCCCTACAGATGAGAGCAATGACCTAGCCAGCTGTGTCTATTGCAAGTTGTCTTTGGATGGCTGGGAGCCCAAGGACGATCCATTGTGGGTTTTCATCGCTCCTTCCCAGTTGGACAGTTTCTGACCCTCCCCAAGTGACGAACATTATCGTCGCTCTTCAGATTGCTCATTCTTTGTCTTCGCCCAACCTCCGGGAACGAAGGCCAAATCCACTCGTGCTAAGAAGTCTCGTGTGTCCAAGGCTTCCTCCCGGCTTTCAACCCAATCTGTTGGCCTAGTTTCATCCGAAGCGCCCGATATGGAAATGGATGACTATACGGACCAAAGCATCATTTCCCAAGCAACCACAAAATCCAAATCTACAAAGAAGGCAGCCAAGAGCAAATCCAAGGGATCTAAAGCCAGGAAGGAAGAATCTGCGGAGATGGAAAGCCAAGTTGAGGCCGACACTGAAGAAGTCACCCAGCCAGAGCCTATCAAACCCAAACGTTCAGGCAGAGGGACAAAGAGGGACAGCGAGGATATAAAGGATGAACCAAACTCATTTGGCATGCAGGAAAGAGAACTATCGCAGCCGCCAGCAGAACCCCCAGCGAAGAGACGCGCTAAAAAAACACGGAGCAGCAGCATTACTCGCAACTACAATTATGAACACAGTGACATTGCAATGGCGGATGCAGAGCCAGTAAATGATGCTGCTTCGCTAGAAGAACACAATAGAGGTCGGAAGCTCACAAAAAAGAGAGCGTCCAAGGCCTACAAGATCTCCGATGTCCCTTTTTCATCAAATTCTCAGTCAGACAGGCGAGCCCCTCGTGACTCGGAGATCGAAGCGGAAATTAAAGCAGGCCTCGAAGCAGATATCCCGCAACCTGTCGGATCTGAACCTGAGATCGAGGCTGAGCCAGCAGAGCAACGGGCATCGAAAAAGAAATCTACTAAAAAGTCCAAGGCTGCGCCTAAAATCATCCAACCGACCATACATGATCAAGTGGAGGATGCCAGTGATCGCGAGGACTATTCAGATCCTCACGTCGAACCGGTTGAAGATGAACCAGAGGCACCTGAGCCGCCAGCTCCAAAGTCTAAGCCGGCAAAAGGACCCAAGAAAAGGGGGACAAAGAAGACTAACACCGAAGAGACGAATCAAGCACAATTACCAGAACCTCGAGATTTTTTTGGGTTCGGGGCTCCCGATGTTCGAGATGATTCCGAGCGCCATGACTCCGTTGTCTCCGTCGAGATCGTCAGCAAGGAGCTGAATCATGTACCGGAGAGTGAAGAACAAATTTCCAAGGCTGAATTAAAAGAGATTTCTCGGAAGAAAAATGCCACATCAACCAAAGAGAAAAAATCTAAGAAATCCGAGAAAAGCGCGGAGCAAGCTCCTGTTCCTGAACCCCCGGTCGAAGAAATTCGTGCTGTGCCGTCGGATGAGGAACAGGATGATGAATTTGAGACTGCTGATGATTTGCCTGACCAGCTTGAGATGGTCAACCCTCCCGAGGAGCCTTCTCCACATCCACAAGAAATGTCTCTCGAGCCACAATCTCATCGGAAGTCGCCCAGTCTACCGCCAAAGACCGTTAAACGGTATAGCGATATTCCCCACGAAGAGCATCTTGCAGAGACCCTAGTCCAAAGCCAGACCTCCCCTCACGATATGCATGAGTCTCGGCGGAACTCAAAACGCTCTAACCGCTCCGCCTCACCACTTCCGCTAGCTTACGAAAGCACTCCCTCGCCATCACCCCAGTCATCAGATGCCGAAAACAAGCCTCCCCCGTCGCGGCCCTCAGCATCCCGTCCACCTGTTCAATCAACAACGAACCACACTGATCTCCGAGCGCCTCTGGCAGTTAGTACCCCATCACCATCCAAGCGCAACGCTATTGGTGGATTCAGACCATCCGGCCATCCATGGACACCGGTGGATATTGATGAAGTGCTGTTTGGAGAGGCTAGCGATAAGGAAAACGCGGATTTATCTGAACTTTTCAAAGGCGTGAAAGCCAGCTTGACTAGCCCAGAGAGGAAGATGACGGTTCAAGAATGGATCGCGTGGAACGCAAAGAATGGCGAGGAACGACTGAAGAGAGAATGCGAGCGACTTGTGGGCCGATTTGAAAAGGAAGGTGGCCGAGCAATGCAGCGACTCGCAGCTATCGAGTGCATCGACTGAATCAACAGTTCAACTATGTTTTCGGATGGATGATATGATTTGCATGTTAGGCGTTATGCTAGGTGTTGGAAACCCCTTGTTACATTTTTAGCTCACAGTTTAAATTTTTGGGAAGTGCCATTATTGCACACGAAGAACATAAGCAGTAAAAAAAAATCAGAGTGGAAAATATGCTAAAACACCATGGGTATCAAGAACAGAACGCACACCCTAGAACAACACTCAAGAAATGATTCCCAAACGGCCCTCCCAGCTATCATCTTCCTTCTTAACCTTGTCTCTCTTCCGCTTCTCATTGCGCTTCCGCCTCTTCTCCTCCCTCTCCTTGGCATCGATCTCCTCCCGCTCCTTAAGCCGCACTCCCAGATCGAGTTGCCAAGCCTTGCGCTCTTCCTCGTCCCGCTGACGCTTCCGATGTGAAAGCATCCTCAACCGCAAGCGCACGTCCTCAACATTCGCCCTCTTCACCTCGCCACTTTGCCCTGTCGCAATCAAATGTTGTTTGCTGTTCAAGTGCTCCACAAGCTGCAGATTGTCCTTGTAGGTGAGATCGCAGTCCTTGCAGTAAAATCCAGCGCCGCGACCGCGCTTTCCCATTCCCGAGCCTCCAGGCACAATCATCGTCTTTCCCACCATGGACGCGACATCTAGGCGCTGGTTGCGGGCTGTGGTATCCTCGAGCATGCTGTAATCGACTGGTGCGTGGTATTTCTTGCCCAGTAGTTTGGCTTCGTAGCGGGCTTTTCCTTCGGCTTTGCGCTTCGCTTCAGTTTCGGCGGCCTTTTTAGCGTATTCTTCGCGGTCCCAGGTTTTTCGGAAGGCCGTGTCCGACACCGGGGTGCCGTAGGCATTGGGTCCTGACATATTTGTGGTTGATGTGAAGATATGGTTTTGGGGAGATGTAGTGGGAGGTTGCTGGGTGGCGATCTTTAAAGTTGGAGCTTCGAAGGTTGAGATCGATTCAAGTCCGCTATTGAAGATTATATAAGCGACATACCAACCCACGCCTTCACCTGTACATGACTTCTAGGAGGCTGAAAATAGGCAGCTATTTTGGAAAAATGAAGTATTTGATAACTGCGTCGGATTAAATGCTTCCAACTCGATAGAAGCGTCAGTGGCTGCGATTTCAGGCAACAGTTTTCGACCCGCTCGTATAAGATGAACAACACCACCCTCACGTCGAATGTACACCATTAAGCTACAAGCAGCCGTCTTGGAAAACAAGTCCAGAAACATGAAGCCATGCCAGTCGCCCTTATATTCTCAAGCCACCAGCACCAATCTAATGACCCTCCCCTCTGAACTCCACATCCAAATAAGCACCTACCTTTCCTACCCAGATGCCCTAGCTCTTAAACACAGCAGCCGCCACTTCTACTCAATAGTCTTCACTGGCGTGCGCCTGAAAGTTGAATGGCTCATTGAACGCTTCGAGCATAAACTCGAATGCCCCATGGAGAAGTGTTCGTTCAGTACGGATGAGTCGTTTTGCAATGGACGAGTCTGCGGCATCATGGAGCGCCGTCGGTGGCATCTTGAGTGTCGCCCAGTTCGGGGTGGCTGTCTGCTTTTTAATGGCCAGACTTGCCGGGCGGACTTCTTGCCCGGTTGGTTTAAAGTGAGGGCACAGGGAAAACGGAGAGCTGTCAAGGTTATGGAGAGCTGGGGGTATGAAGGTCGGTTCCCTCTTCTGGCTCTATCTTCTTCCCGCGTGATGAGACATTGGCTGATACCGTGTTGCATAGTCTTTGTAATTGGAATTCTGGCGGTTCTGTTGGGCTTGCTGTGGAATTTTGCCCAAAGGTGAGACATGGGTTTGGATTGGCTTTCATGTGGCTTAAAGAGACCTGCTGATTGTACTCGCAGAACTTGGTACCTCGAAAGCAGATTGAGGGGACACTCTGCGACTATTCATTGAGTTATGACGCGCACTTTCAGCCACGTCTCCTATCAAGAGGAGCTCGGAAGTCAATTGACAAGTCCAGAAATATTTCCGCCCATGAACATGAATTCGAACTGGCATGTCACGATGCATACACGAGGGCCTCGTTGCCACAAGATATGACTTTAGATGTGACTTGGCGATCAAGCTCGCAAAATATTGATCCTGTAATACTGTATGTAACAGCTTTTCAAGAGACTCTTTCATAGTTGTGATGGAATGGAGGGGAGAATCGAGGACGACGGAAATGCACCCATGCCGAGGCCATTTCTCCAGACTTAAGAGCTATGTAACCCGATCTTCACAGCTTGCAAGCTTTCTGGGTGCTGTGATGAAGTGAACATGAAATTTGACCTCATCTCGCAGAGAATCTTGGTCCTGACCTTGATCTTTTCGATGACGTCACATTGACGACCGTGTATAGTTCCTCCAAGTATATAATTTCTCCCTCCAGCTGCTTCAGGCGCTCTATTCTGCCACATCGTCTCATTCTGTAAACATCGACCATAATGTCTACCGCAGATGCTACTATCAATACCAACACGGGCAATCACCCCGTCGATCCCTACAAGACGCAGAACTTCGAAGACCCGCCTCTCCCTCAGAAGATCGAAGAGCTGGTTGAATTTATCAACCAAGTTAAATTCGGCATGCTGACAACCAAGCAGTCAGAGGGAGAATTCCTGGCCTCCCGGTGCATGGCATTAGCCGCGACGGTACGAACATAATCACAGCAAAGGAACAGCCTGCTAATCCATCACCCAAAACCAGGAGAACGGCGGCATCGACCTCATTTTCCACACCAACCTCTTCTCTGGCAAAACAATGGATCTTACCGTGCACCCCAAAGAAACCAACATGTCGTTCCTCGATCCCATTAGTGGAGCCTGGGCCTCCATCTCCGGCACTGCATCAGTGATTGGTGATCCCGCTGTTGTGAAGAAGTATTACTCACCCGCACTCAAGGCATGGCTTGGTGATATGGGTGATGGTGTGCACGATGGTGGACCCTCCGACCCCCGGATTGGTGTTATTAAGCTCGAGGCCAAGTTGGCCACGCATGTTGTTGCGCACAAGGGCCTACTTGGCCGTGCCTATGAAACTGTGAAGGGTGCTGTGCAGGGCCGTGTTCCACATGTCAATGGCATTCGGGAGCTGAGTTTGCAGGAGTTTGCAGAGTGTATTATTCTTCGTCCCCCTCTTGAGATCTTGGGCTAACTTGCCTCTTCAGGGCGCCGGACGCATCGGGAATAAGTGTATTTTTACAAGGAAACTTGAAAGAAGAGTATACGCTCAGTGTTAAGAGACATCTAACGCATTTCATGGAAGCAAAGTTAAACGACTTTTGAAAAAAAAAGTTATGCTACCCTGCATAGTTGTCCATCAATCCGGTCTACCTCATTGCGCGTAGGCTCTATCCTCTCTTGGACCTGATTTGAAGGCATAAGTAAAAATCTCACCTTGACAAGGAACTCGGCACTCATTCGTACAGCAGCTTTCAATTGCAATAGTGTGCTACGAAGATTTTGCCAAGAGCTACCTACCATTCGCTCATCGTTCTGCAAACCTCTGATCATGTGGGCTAGTGGCCATAGGGGATGCTTATCCCGTCCTGCTTCAATATCAGCATGGACAAGTGTCAAATACTCCTTCGTGCATGCTCTTAACTTCCAGCTTGTAACCTAGCCCCTCGAGGATAGCCCACAACTCCTCCCAGGTCATGCCATCTACGGGTAGTTTCTCAGCCACTACCTCCATCCTTTCTCCCATCACAGGTTTAAAACAACTCGCCGGTTGTTTTTGAATGGGCTGTGCTTCGCCGCGCGCTTGACTACAGCTTCAGCGACACACTTAGTCTGGCTATACGCGATGGCGTTGGCGACTGAGGGCTCCTCCACAGCATCCAGCTCTTCTTGAAAGTCCCACCGCCGACCACCATAAATAGAGGAATTGTATGCAAGAGGGATCTATCGTGAGGTGCAATAGATCGGTGGTTGAGCGATTGTTGGCGGGCTTCAGGACTTCGTAGCTTTTTTTCCAATGTATCGTCGCACCAGTGTGCATGATGATGTTGATCGCTTAGCCACTGGCTAGCGAGTTCCAGCGTACCTGATCAAGTCCTAGATTTGGTAGTGACAGGTCGCTCCGCCAGATTTCTAGATTCTCCGTGTGGTGAATTAGTCCACCAGAGCACTTTCATAGCTGCATCAATGGTGTGCTGTCTAGCTGCGTCATCTGTATCACCACACATAAGACAAATGACACGACTGACGTGGGCGATGTTCGAGCAGCTGCCTTAGAATTTGTGTGCCGACAAACACCGTCGGCACCAATTAAGAGCATGGTATAAGACCGTTTGTCACTGTCTCTGGGTATATCATTGCTCGTGACATTTTCAAAGTTTGTGGGTCTTTGTTGAACACTCAAAACGTCGCAGTCATACCAGTTGAGCTTAGCCATGATATCAACAGAGACCTTGTCTGAGTAACGATCTGCGAAGTGACTATGTTTCGTGTGTGTGCAACTAACCATTCCGGTCTATCATCTATCATCAGGTAAATCTTCAACCGAAGCGAATCTTCCTACCGTGAATCTTTACCATCTGGCCTGTGGCCATTCTTTCATTATCTTCTCATTAACAACTCCGTGCAAAGCCTTCCTGGGGTTGGGGTGTGACAAGTGCAGATCTCAACTCCCCTGGTTCCCAAGCACTCTCAAATGGAGGACTCAATCCCCCAGTCTTTCAACATCATCTTACTATTGACAAGATATACCCACTGGTCCAAGCATTCCGACCTGGCAAATGATATCGTTTAGCCCCTTCGGCCTCCCCGCTCGACCCGTGCTTTGACTTCCCTGTTCATGCAATTCTGATTCCAACTCCGATGATCCTTCGTCACGTCCTACATAACGAACGCGAAATGTTCTCAAAAAGGTGATATCTTGTAAGTCAGTTTGTCTCATTTAGTGGATCGAATCACAACCGGCCACTGTTCACCAGCGCATTGTATCGTCAGGGCCACATGACTCACATTCTTCAGTTCTCTGATCTTCTAGCCCATCTGAGGGGTCTGGACCTCGAGTGGCTGGAACTGTAGAAAAAGAAGCATAGCATGATGACAGTCTAGACTTTTGTACCAGCACATGGCCAAATCATTTCGGGATGGGGTTGGTCTTCCCAGAAGGCCATGAATACAGTGCACCAAGATGAAAATGCTGTGTTTTCCGTTCGGGGGACTCTTTTGAAGGGGAAACCGACATCGTTGTGGATGCACGACCACCGCGATGCCTTTAACAGATCAAAAAGCCATCGCTGTTACACAGACGACATGTTTACTGAGTCTTGGAAATCGTGGTATCGATCTGCATAAAATTCCAAGATAGTTCTCAGTGCCTTGAAAGTTGCACTTAGCGCAGCCCTATTATTGCATGACACTGAGCAACAAGGGCTAAACTACATGGAAACTATCACGGAAGTCTCCAGCTCAAGAGATAATCCACCATTCCCATGCCCCGGTGGTTTACATACTCTCAGAGTCCACCGAGGGTTCCGGTGGTGCACTAGCTGCTGGTGATGTTGCTCTAGAACCGTAAATCGAACCAAGGTAGTAGCACAGACTCTCAGTTTTGGTCGATTGTTTCCTTTTAATTCTTAACATCGCATATAACAGTAGATCATTTCCGTATTTGTCCATGACTACATTCGTAGATACTGTCTAGGATAATGCGGGGGGGTGGACTCACGCTGGCTCACACATACTATTCCTGGTTGCACTAGTAGAGATCGGTTTATTAACGAAAAAAGACAAGTTAGATTATATCTCTAGGGGTCCAAATAAAAGATGCAGTCAACTTCTCTATCCTGATCTTCTTCTCCTTGACATTTTTGCTTGTTTCATTAGAACGGGAGTATACGCATACAGATTCATCTTTTCTTACCTCATCCCACAAGACTTTCAGGTTTAGCTTCCAATTTCATCAGCATGGCGGCCGAAACCCCAACGTATCCTTTATCTCCTATGGATCTTCTTATAGCCACACACCCAAATAACGCCGAGGCAATCCCTAAATTGCTGAACGAGGTTGTCGAGAGCGTCAATAACCTAACGACTGGAACCGATCAAGACCGTAAGGATACGTTAGTCAAGTGTCGAGCTTTAGCTTTAGCGATCGAAACGCCTCGGGAGACGATGGTTGATCACTGCTGGGGACAGGTAAGTGCCCAAGAGTCTCAGAGCTTGAACAGAATAAGTGATGTCGTAGATGGGTACAATTGCGGCTATAGGGTTTGGCGTGGACGCAGGATTATGGATCTTGATGGCTCAGAATGGCGATAAACCCCAGAAGGTTACTGACTTGGCCATGAGCCTTGGGGTCGACCCCAAACTTCTCAGTGGGCTCCTCACAATCAATTACAACGCTCTAGCTAACTGTAGGCTAGGTCGTTTGATGCGACATGTCAGTGCGATGGGACTCCTCATCGAGGTCGGTGAAGATGAATATCTGTCTACAAACTATACCAAGGCGCTGAGCCTCCCTCAGATTGGACATGGGTATCTTGGTTTGTGAGTGCTCATTTGACTCTAAGCCAAATACCAGGGAACGGTGCGACTAATACATCTTCACACCCACCTAGAACCGCGTGCAATGGCTCGGGCATTTTGAAATTCCACGAGTTCTCTCGCAAGCGGGGCTGGGTGAATCCAACAAATCCTCAGGACACGTCTCTGATGTATGCCTATGGTACCGACAAGGACATCTTTTCTTGGGTGGTAGATTTGGGTTACGGAAAACACCTGAATGATTACTTGGGTGGTTACAATCTGGGTCGGCCACTCTGGATGGACCCTGACGTCTATCCCGTGAAGGAGAGGCTGATCGATGGGGCTGAATCTAGCCCAGATGCACCATTCCTTGTAGATATTGGCGGCAACGTGGGCCATGACTTGGTGAGGTTTCAAAGTCGCCATCCGAACGCTCCTGGAAAGTTGATTCTTCAAGACTTGCCCATGATGATTCGCCAGATCAAGGATCTAGATCCGGCGATAATCCGAATGGAGTATGACTTCCATGATGAGCAACCCGTCAAAGGTCAGAGTCTAGAGATCTTCCCCATGATTCCCTTCCAACTCTCTCGATATCAATTCCGAATGAAGTGACTTACACAATCTCAGGTGCCCGGGCTTATTACATACACTCAACGCTACATAACTGGTCGGACGATGTATGTGAAATCATACTTTCACGAGTGAAAGAGGCCATGAAACCTGGGTATAGTAGACTATTGATCAATGAGAACGTGATGCCGACCACCGGAGCCCATTGGGAGACCACGGGACTCGACATGATTATGTTGACCCTCTTCTCTTCCGAGCAGCGGACTAGTACAGCGTGGTATGACTTGATTGAAAGGAGGGCGGGCTTGAAAATAGTCCAAGTGTGGAGCGCTGGAAAGGGAGTAGAAAGTGTGATTGAGTGTGAACTAGTCTAAACTTGTTCAACAGGTGTGGTTCAGATGTAGCCTTGGGAAGTATCAACTCGTTACCTCCCAACCTCGAGCACTCTCTTCCCATTCGTCGCAACTTTGGCTATACTATCCCGTCTAGCCTCAGGTAGCGTGAGGATACTGATTGTCAGACCAGGTGTCTGAATATTAATCCCCTAAACGAAGGACCTAGACAGTAATCAATCTATCAGTGTCACACACCATAAAAATTTTATTATCCACCAAGGCATTTCCAATTCGGTTCCGGTGGGACAAGCCTGGCTATGGTCGAGCTGACTAGAGAGGTAGATACAAGGCTATGCGTACAGTGCACACGAAGTTGATTAGATTCAGCATTGAAGACTATTAAGCACTTGATTAAAACAAAAGGCGGTTTCACCAAAAAAGGGACCTTTGCTCCGCCACCACTACAGGTAAAAAAAAAGATAATATTGGGGTATCGTCCACAAACTCCCGATGCCACGCGCATAATTCATGAATGGGCATCATTTCCAAATTGACGCCGAAGTGAGCGAACAGTTAAATCTAGTGAGTTTGTTAGCATAAAAATTATGATGTGCAAGTGTGTAAAGACCCACCAAAGCAAGAGGAAAACGATAAGGAACACGGCCGTTGTGCAGCAGCAGAGCTTTGGCCTTTTGAGGAGTAGCCTGCAATTTGCGGTATGCCTCATGAACGTGTCGTGGCTCAATGGGAGTCCGCCCCTCCTCGGGGGGATCAAACAAGCCGGTCTCGCGCTTCCGCTTCTTGAGATTTTCACCGGCGTCGGCACCTCCACGGCGGTGCTTCTCATTATCTTCGCGCTCCTTGACTTTGAGTGCCTCCTCGGTAAGAGTCTGGACGATCTCAAATGTGAGAAAACCGAGAATGTCCACAATGTCATCGTTTGGCTTAGATTCGGTCACGATGCCGAAGCCTGCCCACTCGCGGAATCGCTTGGTCTTGCGGTAGGTGAAGGAAGCCTGGCGACACTCGGACCAGAAGACATACTCCTCTCGCGTCATATGGCGGGTGCGTTCATCGGCGGCAGCAAGACGCTGGAGGGTCGCGTAGTTTTGCTCCTCCTCTTCTTCATCCTCTTCATCTTCGCGCTCGGGGACTTGAACTGAGTAGAAACTGTTGACATCCCACGCAAGTCCGACCTTGGCGCGCTTATTCTTGGGCTTGGGAGCCACATCTTGGGGGCCTGCAACAACACCAGCCGCATCGTCGGCGGCGGCGAAATCTGCGGCATCACCACCACCCTTGTCGTCGGAGTCCTTGACATTCTTGCGGACATCCTTCCATGACAAAAAGGTTCGCAGACGGGAGACTTTAGCCTTGTCGTGGCGGATCAGGAAAATTAGATCGTCGGTAGATATCGAGCGAACTCCGCGGCGAGTTGCCAATGCGGTGCTACGTGTCAGCTATTTGATTGTCAGTAACAAGAGCCTTTCAAGGCAAATTTTCCTGCTACCCACAATTTCGATCACTTGTTGGCGGGTGATCTCTTCAATCAAAGTGGTAGTCTCGGGGGACGGCTCTGCTGTCTCTCCGGAGACAAACATCATCTTTAAATCTTTGTCAGTAAACAAGTCTCCAATCGTGTTTTCTTTCTTTCCATGATCTTCCTGGCTCTCGATGATTGTTTCGGGGCTGGTCGTGGCACTGTCGACCTGAAAACTCGAACGAGTTGAAGATGTGGATGCAAAGCAAGCGAAGCCGAAGGCGAGCCAATCCATCCATAGTAGCATTATGCGACCGGGTGTAATTCTTGTGAAAGTACTCCCCCCTGGAGAAGAAGTCTGACTTAGAATTGTCCGACAGATGATCTTGATTTGCATCAGAGACCTCTTCAACAGAATGCATGGAAAAGTCCGTAATAAAATCCAAGCCTGAAGCTGAAGCTGAGGCTGCATAAGGAGCATTGATAGGAGAGGTAATGATACAATCACTTGAGGGCAAATCAGGATCAATCAAGGCCCCATCAAGTTCACTTAGCATGAGTTCTTCCTGGCTTCGCGCAGATTCATTCCGACACTGCATCCAGAGCTCCACGATTGATCTGCCACCAACAGACATGCTTGATGAATGACCACACAGATAATGTGTCCAATACAGTGAATGGATGGAATCTCGAAGAATGCGTGAGATGCGTTTGTAGATGGATTTGAAAAAATTTTTCAGGCCACAGGACGATCAAAAGAGGAAGAAAGGCAGTGTTGGTAACTGATATGCCGAAAAGACAAAGAGGTAATGAAGTCTTTCGGTGAATGGAGCGTTCGAAATCTTGGATAAGAAAGATAAAGAGTGACAGATAGCGAGGAAGGTGAAAAGAGAGCATCAAAACACCTTGGTACGATGAGTGGCACCCATCACAAGTCAACATCGATAAGAAGCTCTCGCGACCCCGCAAGTATCAGAACTCAGAAGAGAAGGCCCTACTGGCTTGGCAATTGCTCCTGAGGCCAAGAAATTTGACATACTCCTTGGTCTTCAGCCCAGTATCCCTCAATGATTCAACGCCCAACCTTCAATATTGGCAGGACCAATTGCAGAAAGGATCCGGGCATTTCGAGAATTGCAACAAAGTTGCTTGACATCAGAATACGCGTATACCAGCAGCCGAACAATGCAAGACTAAACGGCTTTTGCGCCCTATTTCAACCCTCGTTATGAAAATCGAAAGAGGAGACGGATACAATAGCGTCATTCCAGCGAATGAGTACATGCTCAAGGCAAGTGACATGTCGCAAGCCCGGCCGGACCACCCTTGAATATCATAGTTGCTAGAAAAGCAGCTTCGAACTTCCCATAATGACTTTGTTCCACGGTACTCGGAAAATCGAGGGGGCCGTGGCCCCATCCGCAAAAAGGATGCGTTTGCGCCGCGCAAGTTGTGTCGTAAAGCCAGCCGACAGTCGCGGTATGTTCAGGGGCCTTCCGAGGCCTAGTCAGACGTTCAAATGAAAATTTTCGAGAGCCAGAAAGATCGAGAGACCATAAATCTCAAGCAAAATGAACCAGAGACCGTAGAGGAACTCACCTGTTGTATCTCCTGTCGATATTTCGGATTCCGATCGGAGCTCATGATGGATGGCGGTAACCCTACCAAGGGAAAGGTTTTGATGATTGAGGTGGGGCTTATACAGGTGTTCAACTGGTGTGAGTGAGCGATTTTGGATTGATTCAAGTCAAAATGACAGAAGATGGGCGCAAGGAGGATGAAGCTCTGGAGGTTCGGAGAAGCCCAGGCCGATCTGGGGGGGAGATAAGCGATAACCGGATCCTCTTTGATCCGGCGGTCGCGGAGTATTCTGCCGCTATCGCGGGGCACGGCTGTTCTTTTTTTTTCGGACTGCTAGACATACAGTGAGGTTCATTGCTTTCTGCTCAATTGCATAACCTCAGACCCTACAGTCAAGATGCTTCACCTTATTGGACTTGGTCTTGCTGATGAGACGGATATCACCGTCCGTGGTCTGGAGATCGTGAAGCGGGCCGAGAGAGTCTATCTAGAGGCATACACGAGTATTCTTCTTGTCGATAAAGAAAAACTGGTGAGTTGAGCTCCAAGTTCTTATCTTCCACCCCGAACAATTACATGCCTTTTGTGCAGATGGACTGATTAAAAATTTTACCAGTAGGAAGCGTTCTATGGCCGCCCCGTCATCGAGGCAGACCGTGAACTGGTCGAGACCGGCAGCGATGACATCCTCGCCGGTGGTGACAAAGCCGACATTGTGTTCCTAGTAGTGGGAGATCCATTCGGGTACGACCTTTATCACTTCCCGCTCTAAGATCTATAACTAACGCCATACTGCGCACAGCGCAACAACGCACACCGATCTCGTCCTCCGCGCGCGCGAACTTGGCATCGAGACCAAAGTTGTCCCGAACGCATCCATCATGTCCGGAATCGGCTGCACAGGTCTCCAGCTGTACAACTTCGGACAAACAGTCAGCATGGTTTTCTTCACCGAGACCTGGAAGCCATCGTCGTACTACGACCGTGTGCGCGAGAACGTGCAGATCGGCTTGCATACACTAGTTCTGCTTGATATTAAGGTCAAGGAGCAGTCATTGGAGAACATGGCTCGCGGACGCCGCATTTTCGAGCCCCCGCGTTACATGACTGTTGCGCAATGTGCAGCACAGATGCTGGAGACTGAGGAGGAGCGACAGGAGGGTGTCTATGGGCCAGATAGCTTGGCTGTCGGTGCAGCGCGTGTTGGCGCTGCTAACCAGCAGCTTGTTTCTGGCACCCTTAAGGAGTTGGCAACTGTTGACATGGGCGCGCCACTGCACAGTCTTGTTCTTCTTGGTCGCAGAACACACGATCTTGAGAGGGACTACATTCGCGAGTATGCAGTCAATAAGGAAACTTTTGATGCAAGCTATGTCAAGGGATATGGGGCTAGCTTGTAAGAGTTGGAGTTTGCCAAGAGACAATGATTTCAGGATTAAAAATATGTGATAAGCTTACCAAATTACTTGCTATGATGCACTGGAGTTCTTGGGACGATCAATATTGGAAAAAGACACGCGGGCATCACATCAAATATGTTCTTTCTCGCCAGGAAGAAGAGTCTCATGTCCAGAGCCTTCATATACGAAGTTAGCTGCAAGGCAACCACACACGGATACCAATGCTATCATCCACCAGGCGAAGCCGACCATGCCAACAGTGCCAATCAGACCAACAAGTATAACGAACTTCCGACCATCCCATTCGGCATCGGCAACGCAATCCCGTGTAAAGTCGAAGACACGGCAGAGATCCAGCATCGCCAATTGACCCTTCCGCGGCAACGCCACCCAGGTTATCAGCGCGGGGCCAGTACTTGAAGCGGGTTGTGGTTATCGGAGCGGCCTCGAACAAGCTGTAATTTGCAACCATCCCCCAAATGTAACTTTTGATTGAACACGTTGAATGTGATAGAGAAACGTCTATTTTAGAAACCTTTGAATTAATCGTATAATCCACTAGGGTTTTTAATGACCAACACCGGCGGCCAGTGGCGCGGATTAGCGTTTCAGCCACATTCCAAGGATACGTCTAGTTACACACATGTACATCAGTCACTATAGCAAGGAGTCCTGCCACAATATATTGCAAGGCTACCATACTGAACCCCACAAGGCGAAGATAGGAGTTCGCATGATCAAGGCTATCAAACTTCCTGAAGTGGATACGGTACCTGGTCTTTTGCATACTTTTGATTTGCAACGAGGTGTAATTTTTCATACGGAGGACTGTGAAAACCCTATACTTAACTAGTTAGTTACCTGTAATGTAAATGTTTTACCTAAGCTGAGAAAAGGCCCCGGGTCCACCCGTGGACCCACGGTCACAGGCCTCGGGAGACTCCGTTGGAGAAATCGAGAGTTTCACACGACGCTCGTATTAATTTTGAAACTGCCTTGTAGGTAGTATTGTGGACAGTTAAGAGCCATAATTTAGAGGTCGACAACAGATGACATAGATACCGTTGAACCATAGACACCACACGTTGATCGACTATTTGGTCTTTGAGCAATATTTTGAGTGAATGGAAGTCTAGGTAGAAGCTCCCAGTGACATTGCATATACTCCGTGCATTGTAAACCATTCGACGCTGGGAGCTACAGCGTATAGATAGGAGATGGGGTGAAGTATGCTTTTATAATCCTTACAACACACCCAGCTAAAGAAAACCTATCAAGGGTCCATGAACACAGTTGAGATGCCTCTTCTTTTAGTGTGTTAAACGGCGTGCTATTTCCAGAATCACCAGTCCGAACATGCGCGGAAGATGAACCGATTCCTTAGCGTGCCACTAGTCCACGTCTGTTCATCAAAGCTTTTGATACAAGCCTTCTAAGAGAATCCATTCCGGGACACAAAATAAACGAAGCAACCTGAACCCCACTTGGTTTTCCATCCTCATATATATAGAAGTAGTTGTAACCATCAGTTACATGTGTTTCTCTCATAGAAGCATGTTACATAGAAACAATGCAGGTAACTTTCAATACTGTTCCACATAGTTGAAAGGGATCCCTTCTTCCCCATTGCCAAGCTACTGGCCGAAGAAATCCATAGCACTTCTCGAACAGAGTGTAGCTGGAACACTTTCTCTTAGTTTCACACCAGTACGGGAGTGGGGAGGTGGGAAGGACTTGGGGCCGAGTATGGACGGCCCGATTTAGAAGGTGTAGATAGCTGGTGTTTACGTACTTGCTGAAGTGGTTTCTTTGTGAACAGGTTACGATATTGGCCAAGAAGTGAATTCTCGTTCTCGTGTACGCTGTACGCAGCGAAACTTGAGAAGCCGGCAGCAGGCCAACATTTTATGCTCCCCTTGCCTCCATACAAAGCATGATGAAGATAGAGCCTCGTGGTTTGAATCCCTCTACTTGAAAGCCGGGAATGCTTTGATGCGCTTATTGCACAGATGTCCTCCATACAGAGTATGCATCAGGGGTGACAGGTAAAAATTCCAAAAAAAGAGGCAATTTTTAAATCACCCAGTTATTCTCCAACCTGTACCTGGAGATGGCAAAACAGTAGATCGATGTGATAGATGCAGTGGTCTGTTCCAACACGGAAGAAAACAGAGAAAAGCAACGACGACCTCAGGACCTGGTAACATACTAGAGGCGCCTGCGCATGCCAGCAGCCAGCCAAAGAAATGAGCTATGAGGAATTTGAAAAAAGGAAGACAAGTTCTGCAAGGTGCAAGGAAGAACATTTTAGCGAAGGGAGAAATATTTGAAAGCCAAAGTAGCCACGAAGCCAGCGGCAAGCAGTGAACCCCCCAGAGTGACAGCCTGGAGAGCAACGTTCATCATCTGGTGACGGTTGCGGGTGCTGCAACGCTTGTTAAAGTCAGCCGTGTCATTTGCACAGGGGAAGGGGGTGTCAGGGACCTCCTCCTCGAGGAACTCGCAGAGTGGGGCCCAGCCGTCGTTGATGTTGTATTCAAGCAGACGCTCGGGGGGCACCAAACTGCGGACCTGGGCGACATGATCCTCGTAGACTTGCTTGCCTTTTCCGGGAAAGTCACCACGGAAAAATGTCTCAAAGAACTTATTCAGCATAGGGTAGTACATGCCCGCGGCCCAGCTGAAGTTCGACACAAACTTGTGCTCTGGGTCTGAGATGCGCCAGAAGACAGTCTTCATGACGGATCTGGTGATTTGTTAGTAAGTTGCTCGCAAGACCGGGTGTACGTATTAAATAAGGTGTGACTGTGACTGTGACTTACGCGTGCCACGGGTTGACATCACGGGTAGTCAGGATGACCTTCGCATTGGGATAGGCCTCGATCAGCTCTTTTGCAAAAGCACAGGCAGGCCAGTCACAGACAGCCTGACAGTCACCCAGAAGCTGGTCCCATTCCTTGCGGCTGAACTCGCCAATTCCGTTGTACTTCGCGTTTAGGGCATCGTGCCACATCAAGCAATCCGGCGGGTTCTCAACACTTGCGCACATCATGTGGTAGCACTTGACATAGCCCAGTCGCTCAAAGGCCTTGCGAAGAGCTATTAAATTACGGTTAATTTTCATGTTTCTCCTTCCATCAGGCCCGGTTAACCATGAATACACAAAGTCCAACGCAACGCAGTACATCATACTCACAGGCAGTTCCAGTGCGACCAACGCCCAGAGCAAGGACCTTCATAGGTACTGTGCGGTGGCACTTTCGTCTGTCAATGTTTGTATCATCGGTAAAGATGTCGGTCATGGGCTGGGGAGCCAGAAAATCGGAGAGCATTAGAGACATAGTGGGATGTTTATGAGCTCAATTATGATTTGACATCGATGGAACTTGAATAGAGAGAGGATGTGTAGATGAAATGAACGAGAGGAAGTAATGGAGCTGGATAAAGAACGGGCAAGACTAATAGAAAAATTCTAGAAGGGGGGGATTAACGAAGTTGATATGGAGATCAGGGGAAGAAATAGCAAATGAATGAACGCAAAAATGCAATAAAATAACCAAGACTCGGTAGTGAACTGATCCCCAAGGGAGATCGATACAACAATGAAGTAGAGTGGGCACTCGGTCACAGAGGCAGTGCCAACGATGAGGCTCAAACCACTCTCTCAAAGTCCCCAAGTAGTCCATATGCACATCTCCCCGTGAGTGGCCAGGTTTCCGCCTATGATGTCCTAGTCTTGACTTTGAGCAATTCCTTCATTGTTGAATTCAGGTTGTGCCCCATGTGGACGGCTAGATTCCAAAAACAGAGGGTCCACGAGTGAACACGAACCACGTTGTACATTGGCAGCATTGAAAGAGGGATACGTACCTAGTTGAGAAGCCATTGTGTGTACATCGTGCTGGGGCGCGTAAAGACACGATGTTACAGGCTGACGCACAGGGATGTCGAGGATCATCAGGAGTGGATTTGGTGGACTTGCCATCTGTACAGTACGGATTTGGTGGTGCAAAGGGCAAAAAGTCGGTGAATTTGGCAAAGGAAATTTACCAAAAAGGATCCCAAGTCGATACTGTCTCGTACACCTTTTTAACCTGTGGAGAGTGTCTATTTCTAAAAGCAAAGGCCATGCCTTTAGGAGTGCACAGCATCTATCGTAGGCTCATGGACCAATCGTAGACTCGTCTACAATGTATGAGTCTGCAAAGTTGCGGTGCGATATGCCATCTCATACCTCAGCACAACACGGTGAAAGCGGCTCGAATTGGGTCTGCTAGGTTTGGCACACAAATATCTCAAGCAGATCAATATCGCAGCTGTCCCCGCCAGGGGAACATCGTCCCGGGTAAGAGAATGCGGCCTTCCTGTCCCATCGGAATAGTTGGGTCGTTTTAATTCTCACGTGTTAATCATCGTCCTGCTAGCGCAAGGGTAGAAAGACATACATTGATTAAAATACATAGAACTAGCTCGAACAGCTTAGAATAGCTTCTGTGATTTTTGTGCCTAGAAAACTCAACGCACCCTGCTCAGAGAATATCCTGTTCACCATACAACCCTTGGACTACCAGGTAAAGCAAAGACGCTTTCTGAACAGCCTCTTCCTCCGCAATTAGCAGAAAGAATGGAAAGAGAACCTTATGCAGCTTACTCGTATAACCTGTGATTTCGACAGCGGCCACTAAGTAATGGCATGAACTGTGCCGGCGATCTGATAATCTCCAGAGTAATCGCTCCTAATTTGAACATGAACAGAACTGATATTATCTGAAAGCCACCGGTACACCTGAAACTCCGTGCAAATGACTGTTTTGGTTTGGGTTGTCCAATGCAGCCGGGTCCGTTATCGACAAGGATCCCCATATCGTTCCCGAATCCGAGTATCAAGCAAGGTTGTCTTCTACTCCAACTTATCCAGGTGTTCCAATCGCGTGAGAACGACCTGCTTGCTTGTCTCTTGAATCTCGCCTGCGAGAAAGACTTCGTCCAGAATAGCGTAGACCTACAGATTCCGACACACGTGGTCAGTATCATGGCTCGTGCAACTACGCCAGCCCCGGTTCATGCCGAGCAGTGAGTCCCCAGCGATTTGCACGCACCTTGTAGAAATTGAAGACCAAATCCAGCTCACACACATTGCCGAAGAATTGGTCTAGCACTTCGACAAAGAAATGGATAGCCTCGAGATAGGCTAGCTCGTTGTCATTCGCGTCGACGCAGACGCAAAAGAACAAACCAGCATATCTCCGATAGACAACCTTGGTACTCCGACGGAACTCAACAAAGTTGGACTGGTATTTCTGATCTCGAGGGGCGACAAGACGATGGACCTATACGGTTGGAGGGAGTTAGTCCGATGGGAACCTCGGAGCAAGTGCAGGTGCAGGTGGTGTTGGATGGACAAACCTCGCCTTTCAGTTTGATTTTCTCTTCATCCTGTAAGCCGGTGTCAGCTTAAGTTCCTAGTTCGGTACGGACAAACGAGTTTTCGCAACACTCACACTATATGGTGAGTACCATTTCGCCAGGCGCGTTTTCCCCCTATACCGTCATTAGCGTCTGGGATTGAAAATGAGCGGAGTGGACAGCAACTCACTGGCGATTCTGAACTATGATAAATGAGAGAACCATTGCGACAGAAAGCCAGGATGTTACCTGGTCAGCATTTATGAAACCACTCGGGGAGTGTTGCGACAAGCTTTGGATGGTCTCCGTTGCTCCCGTCATCGAAGCTCCCCCTCCCATATTGCCCAGACTTACCGCCTGGATCGGATTCTATAGAGATGCAGATGAAATAGAACCGCATTTTGGAGAATTGTAGCATGTCAATTTCTGAATCTGCAAAAATCTTGGATTCCTGTGAGACTTCCAATACATCAACTGAACTAATATGACGAAATTGGTAAAACATAGAATATCAACAGACATAAAGCGTAGAATTCATTAAAGGCTCCCGTTGCAGCCCGGTGTAACACAATTTACAACGAGGCAACGAAGGACACCGTGTAGTGACGGAATTGATTAACCTGATTTGCCATGTTCCGTAGCACTCAGCTATAGCTTTCACCCCGAGCTCATTCGATTCCAGAAGCTCGTCAGACGATTCTAGAAATACTCCATTAGCAACCACGTAGATGTAGCATTGAGACTGGAAGGAAGTCTGCCATAAGAAAGCCAAAAAAAAGATTGAAGAAAGGAACCACATACCGTATAACTCTGCGGACTAGTAGGCCCTATAGAGCTTTCCCCCTTGCGGCTCTGGACCTGACCCTGGCGCTGATTCTGGCTCTCATCCTCAGAGTCCTCCTCAGACTCGTAATTCTCGGAGTCTTCAGAGTCAGGAAACCACCGCTCAGGGTCTCCATTATAAACAAGATACCATCCGATTTTTTCACCGGGTGCTAGACGATCGCGCAATTCCTCCAGCGCCGCCGTTTGATCGTGCGTCAACCCAGATCCCTGTTCCACATAATCCTCAATATTCTCCCCTCCACAATCACCACTCTCATCCTCTGAAATCTCTAGGACCCGCGTGGAAATATACGCATAGTCCTGGCTGACGGTGCCACTCGTCTCGTCGGCGGGATCATACTGCTCAATAAATGACAGCTCCGGCAGCCGCGTCACGAGGTCCGCCTGTGTTTTGCGGAAAGACGTTTTGAGGAGCTCGGTGGTCAGCGGTTGCTGGATGTATTCCGCGGCTGCTTCTTCCAGGTTATGGAGTACGATGTATACGCGGATCCCCGTGAACCCGGCGCGGGGCCAGCGGAAGCCGTGGAGCATATAGACTGGCATAGTAGTTGGCCTGGTTCTTATTTATAGGGCCTGTTTCTGGGTTCGGGGGGACTGTCACAGTGTCTATCGACCGCTAGCTAGGAATTAAAGTCGGATTTTCATGGAATTCGGAGTTCATATTATGTCTGTGTCATAGCTCGTATGTTGAAGCGCGATTGGGGTGTGCGGGTCCCGTGCGTAGTTTCAACGGGAGTTTCGATTTGTCCTGCTTTGATATGCCTCCAAATTTGGATGGAATTCGATATTAGGAGATTTGAGTTGATCACTTGAAACGCGCAGGTCTGAAGAAAGGGTCGTGCCTTGCTTCTATCACGTGTCATATACATATAAGACTTGGTTCGTTGGCCTTGTTATTTGGCTGCGGTGGTAGGCTCTTACTTTCTGCAAGTTAAATACCATCGGGGATTTTCTTTACGGTCTAATCTATTCAAAAAGCAGAAATTTGCTATTTCCAATGTATTTTCATTTCAGATTCGTTTGTTCTTAACGTTGGAAGTACGGATTCTCCAACTGGTAACTTGGGAATTCCGCGCTGAACATGACCTATCATATTCGGGGAACCACTCGGCCTAATTCAATGACAGATCTTTTACTGGTAGCAACTCAACTGGAGTTAACACAAATCGTTTGAAATGAGATGTGATGCGTAGTGCAGGGCCAGAGCCAAGACATTCGATCTAGCGAAGCCCTGTCCAAGGCTCTGGAAAGGAAACTGACAAGGAAACTGGCTAAAACCAAAACACTGAGCACTGAGTTCTGGTGGATATTAAGATTATGAGCTTCTCAATCATGGTCTCCTCTTCAAATCCGCAAATCTTCGCGTCAGTTCATCCAGCTCGGGTATCCCACTGTTGTTAATCTTGTGCTGGGAGGCACCATCCTCTTTAGGGACAGCCGAGGCTTTCCCCTCTGTGCCGGGAAGCTTGACTCTGGGATTGAGATTGTCCATTCTGGGAGCTGGCGGCGCAACGCTAACAGGACTTCGGCCCGAAGCGAGTCCACGGGGAGGTGTAGCTTTGGTCAATTCACTGGTCTCCGAGGCGCGTCTCGCTTCAGAGATGTTCGGCCTCAACGCCGAGTCTCCTTGCTGCTTGCCAGGAGTTTGCGGTAATTGGGGTTCCTCTGCATCGCCATTACCACCATCACCGAGATCCTCCACAAATTCTGGCGGCGCACTTCCTAACTCTTCTTCGGCTCCACGCCACTCAACACCGTATGCTTTCGCAATTTCTCGGAGGTAACTCTCAACAAGTTCCTGTCCTGGCGGACGCACACGCAAGCTCTTGAGGAGCCTATCCGGAACCTTGACAGTATCGACCTTATTATCTTGCGCCAGAGTCATGAACTCCTTGCCGTATCGCTCGCCTAGCATAGTGCGAAGCATGGTAAATTCCCGCACCTCATGCGGAAAGCGGTGCCACGCGTAGAAGACTACAGTAGCAGCCTCATCGAGCGCAGTATCCATGTAAGGGTTCTCTTCATCCGCAAGCCCGTCGCTGGAGTCTTCTGCGGCACTACCAGGTGCTGTTATAGGCGCGACCCGTTCAGCCTCCTTCTTCTGCCCTCCTCCTCCCAGCCAAGAGAACCCAAATCGCGAGCCAGTGCTATCACCAGCGCCCTTAACGCCTGCCGTAGTTGATACCGCAGCACTAGCGTGTTCATGGGAGCGCTTCTTGAGTAAGTCCTTGGCGCGAAGTCTGGCGCGAGTCCCCTGGTCGCTGAAGGCCATTTGATCCAGCACGTTTGCGCGCGCCAGCAGCAGCTCACAGTAGAGCTCGACCATTTCCATTACTTCCACTGCGATATCGGTAGCAATGACATTTTCGACTCGAATGCGCGCTGATGCATCGCGGCCTTCACTGAGGAGCTGGGAGAGTTCACGGCGTTGGACGACTGAGGAGGCTGTGTCTTTCTTTTGAAGAAGGCGAAGACGGGGGATCAGTAGGCGTAGGGTGGAAACTAGTCTAGTCTTTGATTCCATTGTGTTAGTCATTTGGTCTCTGTATCAGACGCGCATGGGATTTGCAGAGTAGGGCAAGCGTTATATGGGCAGTGCGGGGTAGCCTTCGGGGCTCTAGGTAACGAGATTTAGGGGGGAGTGTCTCGAAGATGAAGTGCGTATGTAAAAAAAAAGAAGAGTAGACCATGATTGCTTACCGTTTGAGCCGAGGGAGGCATTTTGGCGTGATGAGTTGTTAGAAGAGAAGATGTGAGGGGGGAAATGGAGACCGGAGCCGAGAGACCTTGGGGTCACCACTTTCTCCATCTGTCCTCTGCTTTCTCACTTTTGTAACTTGAAGAAATCCCACAATACTCAAATAATGGAATGAGGAAATGTTCGTTATCTTTTTGGAGTGTTCTGGGTGACCGTCTCATGGCTATGATATAAGCGCCTTATTGCTTGAGTTCCTCCAGTGTATCGGCAATAGCCTGTCTGATGCCTTTAGTGTAGAGGAGCCATTTGTTGATCTCCTTTGTTGTTGCGGCGGGCGGTGATCTCATCTAACAATAAATTGAACTCATTCAAGGTCGTTGTCTCGACATTCTTAGCGAAGCACTCTGAATATCATCAGGATGAAAGAATTCAAAACTGTAGACACTGAATTACCTACCCTGGACCTGGTCTTCTGCCATATTGAAGAAGCTTCAGGTCCTAGAGGATGTAGTGAATGGGGAAATGAGATGGAGTAGAGAGATGGGAGGAGAACAATGGCTAGCTGGACTCTAGGGACTCAAGAGATCAACCAAATTAAGTCGATCTGGATTGGTTTCGTGTGTGACCTTGCCTTTTGTCATTTTTTCACTCTTTGTATTTCTCATACTTCCCTGTTTTATGCCTGCGTTCTGTGATGTGGGTTTAAGATCATTAGAGGCGCATTTTTAGTTTGAGACATTGGAATTTTTCAAATCTTTTCCAACTGACCTGAAGACTTGCCCTGGATGCTTTGCCGCCTCGTTTGTACTTACGGGACTTCCGTTTTAGGAAGTCCACGGGAGTGGGTAGAGTACTTTCAACATTGTTAGCGAGAAGTCAACCTTGGACGAGTAACAAGGATATAAAGACCCTACCAGTCTCTAAAACAAAAATTTCACTCACACAGATTCTTATAGAATTAAAAAATTGCCTCTAACAACGCCCATCCTTCCACCAAAGCGGGAGGATGTCTTGCAGATATCTATATCGCTCTTTGGGCGAAGCTAAGTTTATTCCAAAGGTTTTGTGCTATGGAATATGAGAGATTTCGGTTATATTCCGTTCTTGGTATGTTTTATCAGAAGATTGTCATGACCCAAACGACCTATTTATCAAATATCCACCGCGTTGGAGTCTCGCCTGCTTCCTTGTCCCAATAATCCGGTAGGATCTTCGCTGCAGTGATTACATTCAAAAAACTCGTAGCGGTCCAAAATTTCCCTAGATATTCAACCATAGAGTCATTCTGGGCCCGCGACCGACACTCCAAGCCAGCCACGAAGATAACCCACAGAACACATTTGAAGAGCACCTCGTCGTCTTTCCAAATATAAGTCAGACCCACCAGTTTGGAGACTAGATCGTCCTGAGTTGTGAGGGTTTCTGTGAGCACATCCAGAATGCGTCTGCCATATAGCAAAGCCACGATTTTGAATGCCTGCGACAATGCGCAGAGATGATTGATTTCCTCTGGAAAAGACTGTCTCATCTGTTGGAGGCTCAAGGCCCAGGCGTAACGGCCAAAGTGTTGAGTGAGTTCCATCATTGTGGTGGCACCTTGTACATGTGTTTGGAGAGCGGCACTGTCAGGCTGTCCTGCAATGGCGTCCCTTTCGTGGGAGAGAAATCGTATCGCTGATGACAGAAACCTCGGACACCCAAGGAAAGATTTTTCAATTTCTTCTTTGAGTTGCGTTTCTGCACGTCCGTCGAACATGAACTCTGACACCAGTTTCGGTCGCAAAATGTGGCTTCCAGTGTTTCGATTCTATTTCGTGGCCAGTCAGTCTCTCGTATGGCTCTAAGCCATCCGTTAGGCTTATTACAACTCACTGATGAATCTGGTAAAAGATTAAATCCCAAATCTGCTGTACTGTCTCTCCAGGTCCATTATTGACTCCAGCTTGTACCTCCAGCAGTGGGCGACGGGATGTTATCAAACGTTTAGCACCCTCAAGATGAAAATCCCAGCCTTTGCTTCCGGATTCGAGGAAATCCAGGGGAACGAAAAGACATATTCTAGCAACGGTGGTGTCACTTTTTTCTATTTTTCCGTTACTGCACACCCGGAAGAGCGCTTCCATGGCTTGATGTTTGAAAAGTAGCGCATCATGATTGGCATTAAGGAGGCTGGCGGGTGTCGAAGCTTGAATTTTGGAATGATGGGCCTGTATTGGCATGATGCCGCGCCGCAAAAGCAAGGATACCCTTCTGCAAGACCGAATCGTTCAATCCAAAGGAGATCAAACTCTGGAGTGAATTTCTGGCGCTATCTTATACAGTGAACAATTTGCATGTGCGTTCGTTGTCCGGATTGCGATATCAGCCATTGAAACCACGTTGATAGAGCACTGTGTGCAGATGTTAGTAGTCGATGTAATATTTCGAGCTTGGATCCAGGTTTGACATGGACGGGTCTTGAAAGGTAAGCGGCAGAGTTCTGCTAGCAGCAGGCGCCTGGACCAGCGCGCAAGGTAGTTTCTTCGGCGTCGATTAAACAAATTTGGCAGTTCTAGAAATGTACATAGTAGGGCCATCCATCATACCCTCGTACGAATGGAATGGCCTTGCATCTTTCCGCGAATAGCCACGCCCTTGACCCACCTCAGAGGTCGCTTGTCCAAGCATTCCACACCGAACTTCTCACAATTAGCGCATGGTATTCCGAACTGGTCGCATTGAAAGCGGCGGTTGCGACATGTCCAGCATGGACCGCACACTATCTCCATTTGGATGGAGCATGGGGAATGTGCAATGTGGCGAAGAGAGGCACAAGATTTGCTGACTGAGCCGGCCGGCTATGCCCGTGGGCCCGGGCCGTCACAGCAATGCAGGTTTGAACCCGGGTGTTTTGATAAATCAACTCCACATATTCAGCTCATATTCTGTGTCTGTTATTTATACTCTGCCAGAAGAAAAAAATACGAGAGGCGGTTTAACAGCATAGAAAAATAGACCAAGAACTTCTTTAGTTACAATACCAGGGTATTAAAGATGATTCACAGAGCCAGTGAGAGGCTAGTTAGCCCTAGTTAGTGGCTACGCCTCTTTTTCCGACTACAAAGATTTTTTTTTCTCCGATTTATTCTACATTTTACGACCCCTGTATGGATATCTCCGCTGATTGATAATCGAGCCTTCTTCAAGGGTCATATCATACCTTATGGCAAAAGATAACAGACCATTGAATCCAACTCTTTGGTTCGGAACAACATGATCGCAATGCGACGAGACTAGAAGCTAGATCGGAGAGTTTGGACGGCCCTGGGCGGGAGAAGAACCAAGGCGACGGTGCTCAATTGGCCACTGGATAGGAGTCTGACACAGTTGAGCGCAGAGAGACACCTTTGAATCTAGTTTAGAAGAAGAAAAGATGGTGATGGCTGGGCTGAAGGATTCACTATTAACCGTAGACGTGCAGCGACATCGGGGCTCTCGGGGTTATATTTGAGGAGTCAACAAGATTAGCAACGGAGAAACTGAGCCATCTGAGACATTTATAGCCCAAGCACATACTTACAACAACCCCAGTCCTCGAATTGCTGTAACCAACGCGGGCCCGACGGCCCAGGAAGAGACACCAGGCACCGTCGAGCCAATCAAGCACGGTATACAGCAAAAATCGAACCGCAAAAATCGAAAACAAGCCACTATAACACAAAAACATCAGCAATTTGGGGGCCGAAGAGCGGTCCATGAGAGGTAAGAAGAGGGAAGGTTACTGTACGGTTAAAATCCGTCAAATCCGTGGACATGTTTAGAACATTGAGTCCATTTAGTCGAATGAGCCCCATCTTAATTGGTTGACCCACCAGGTGCTGAGCCATGCTGATTGGCCCGCTCGGTTCCTGACATCATTGGCGTGGAAGTCTGTTGCCGCCATGCCTATTTAGGAATAATATCATGTATCATGTACTGAGGGTTGATTTTAGCAATCCCTTCGCGTTTCAGTATTGCTTAGCCGTAGATGTGAGGTTTGAGTGTGCATGTTATTCTAATTTATATAGCTGCCAGGAGTCGCACAAAGAATACCGTCTTTTGTTTCCTATCTCCATAAACCAATCTCAATCTCCTCGCAACAACTTCAAAATCGATCTTTGCATTTGCCAACAAGGGAGTTTCTGACATTGTCACTTGATTTTGACTACAGTGTGTGCCTTTCCAGCCCCATTTCATGCCCCTTATGTCCAATAACTAACGAGACCGTAATTTTCTACAGCCTCTTCAAACCAAAATGACTGCCATCCAACCTACAATAGAAGCAAGAATCACACAAACATCTACAATGAACATTGCTACAAGCTTGCTTAAGCGTAGCAATTTGGGCAACCCCGACAAATACCCCCTCTATATCTTCCTCATCATCGCCGGCTGCATTGTAGGAGGACTTATCGGGTTCAGTGTATACACCATGTACCACGGTCTTGACGACTCAGGGAACACGAATGACGTGCCCTACGAGCAACGAAAATACATGCGCGAGACCAGGCAGCGGTATTTGAACATATTGGCTGTTGAGTCGAGGAGACCTGACATGATCATTCCTATCAGAGAAGTGAATGCTTGATTGCTTGGATTTGGCGTTGGGAATGGAGATGTCTACATGTGGATCAGCAGCAAGGACCTGCCTGGGCTCTAGTTGGGTATCAGCATTTTGGTTTGATGCAGATGATATGCGAGCAACTAGTAAGGATTGGTGCATGTATATGGCGGATCAGATAACGGAAAAAAGGCAATTTCAATATTTGTTGATTTTCAATTTACCAAGTATTGCAAAGACAGAGTGGTGCTTGACCAGAGGAATCAAAGCGAGGATGAATGGTGAAAGAGTGCTTTGCATGATCATAAAGGATCTGTCTGAGATCTCGAAAGATCATAGTAGCAAGGATTGACGAATCAAAGAACACACGTTAGATTTCCCATGTCCAACCAGCCATCATATGTAAGCAAAAACAATTTCCCTTGCGTACCAAAAGCAATAGAAAGGGATATTTAACAAGCCAAAAAAAAAGAAATGCGGAGGAGAAAAAGGGATATAAGAGTCATGAAGCAGAGGGGAAAAGGTCCAACCTTGAGCGTCGTCAATAAAGGGCATCCGATGGATGTGAAGAATCATGAAAAAAGGGGATTGTGTAGAAAATAATTAAAAATGTGAACGAATCAGACAAGATTAGACACCTGCAGAGTTTCAATGAGATTGATAGCCGCAGACAAACATAGTTCAGAAAGGATGCCCCATGGGGATGTCTGTACACACCCCGTACATATATGCAATATTGCATGATCAATATAGCTGAGTCAATCAGACCTGATCTACAAGTTCGCAACCATGGCAGCGATGGCGCCGAATGCCAGGGTCAGCATGGAGACGGTGGCGCTGGTGGCACCGCCCGTGGCAGAAGATGTGGACGCAGCGGCAACGACAGCGGTCGTCGTCGTTGGGGCCTCTTGGATGTCAGCAGAACCAGTCAGAACATGAGGCTGATAGGTGTAGCTTGTTGTCGGGCTCGACTTGGGCAGACGGGCGGCAGGACTAGTCATGCTGAACACGGAAGTCGTGGAGATGGAGCCAGCAGTAAAAGTCCAGCTAACAGTGGAGGCCCAGCTAGCGGTAGAAGTCGGGCCAGCAGTAGAGGTCGGGCTAGCAGTAGAGGTGGGGCTAGCAGTAAAGGTGAAGCTAACAGTAGATGTGGAGCTGGGGGTAGAAGTGGGAATCGAAGTTGAAGTTGACGAGGGAGTGGAGGTGGAGGTGGAGGTGGAGGTGGGTGTCTCAGTGGTGCTGGTGCTGGTGCTGGTGCTGGTGCTGGTGCTTGTCGAAGTAGGTGTGGGACTCGAGGTGCTAGTGCTAGAGCTAGTGCTTGAGCTAGTACTGGTGCTGGAGCTGGTGTGGGTGTGGGTGCGGGTGCTGGTGCTGGTGCTGGTGCTGGTGCTGGTGCTGCTAGTGGAGCTGCTAGTGGAGCTACGAGTGGAGGTAAGACTGCTGATGGAGACCTCGATGGTCTCAGACGAGGTGCTGCCGTTACCCTCCTTCTCAAAGACAACAATGTGCGCGGTCTCGCCCTTGGGGATGGTCACGACGCAGCCGGTGGCGCCGCCAGCGCCAACGAAGGGATCACCGGTCATCTCATTGACGTCGTTGACAGCAGGGTCAATCTTGCAGGGCAAGCCATGGCAGCCGTCACCATCACATTCAATCGCGATACCAAAGTCAGGCTTGACATTGCGGAAGGGCGTGGAGGGCTCCAAGTAGATTGGGTTCCAGCCGATTTTCAAGAAGGTCTTGCCACTTTTGTCGGTGTTGCCACCGGCGGTGTACGGAGACCAGTTACCGATGGGTTTCTCGGAGGTACCCCAGACACAGCCTTCCTCCGCAGTGACACCAGGAGCGTTAATGTAGTACTGGGCAGCAGTGGAGCACCAGTAGGACGTGCCGGGCACGGCCAGATCGGCCAGTGTATCAACCGTGGTGGGGATAATCATTGCCTCATTTCCAGGAAGCACAGTCTGGCAGAAAGAAACAGGCTTTCCAGCTTTGTTATGGGCCTTGACAACACCAATGGCCGACTCACAGTAGCCACGGTGGGGGAAGGGTTTATGAATTTTGCCATCATCATCACAGTACAGACCACCTCTCAACGACATAGGGTAAGTGTAGGACGTCGCCTTGGGATCCCATTGCATAGATACCTGACCGGAAGGGCAGGCGTAAGGGCAGTAGTTGCCAGGTTTGCAGCGCTCGTCGGGGCTCATAGCCCAGCCGGCATTTTGCTCATTTGGGGTGATCTCAACCAGGCCAGCATTGGGGGGGAACTCGCACTTCCCACTCCTCTCTGCCAGAGCCACATCACGATTCTCGTGGTGATGGCTCTGGTCATGGCTATGTTTGGCAGCTTCAGCGCTCGCAACGAGGGCGACAAGCGCCGCTGCGCAGAAAGATGCGACCTGGAACTTCATTGTGTCAGGGGGGAAAAGACTTAGCAAATTTAAATTAATGAAATGAATGAGTATATAAAGCGAATGGATTAGTCAAACGAGTGACAAAAAGAAATGGCCAATGGCCAAGAACAGATACAGTGCTCACAGAGAATGAAGGTCAAGACGAGAGAAAGGAAAGAGATGGGGAAAGGCAGCAAGAAAAGGGAGAGGGACACGGCCACACGGCCACTCGAGAGCAGGGTCCCAGCTCAGGTCCACGAGTCTGCTAGCCTAAAAAAGTGTTAGATCTGGTATCTGCGCGCAATTTCGGCGCAGAGAGCAGACTTTAGGAGCAGCCCCGACATTTTCATGAGCGGTTTGTCCGTGATGGCCCATAATTCCCATAGTCGCTCCCCGAAACAGGAATTATGGGAGCAGCCTTGGACCCCAAAGGATGTACCCCTGAAGCAAACTCCACTAGTGGACAGCCACATGTAGCTACTAGACACTTAGTGTCAGGGGCAGAGACAGCCTGCAGCCAATGATGAACGCCATTACCCCGACGGTTCCTGCTTGGCAGGAAAAGCAAGGCCAATGAGCTAAGAAAGTTGCTTTGTGGAGTTGCCTTCCGACATTTTTCAACAGCAAAAAGCAAAACATCAATTCATCATTGAAGGGAAATGTGGAGGAGAGTGGAGGAAAGGGACCGGCGTTGCTCGGCGCAACCTTTGGGAACCTTGGAGATCATGTCACATGATATCTCAACGTCTAACCTTGGAATTTGCAACCTGCGAAGGTTGTAATTAATGGTACAGTACACATAGAAATAAAACGCTAATCAAATGAATCCAGAATGCATCATACGTTGTTTATACATACATCAAAAGGAGTGAACTCCACTGAAGGGAATTAATGGGGAAACCAGGCTAATATTCCCAAGTGGAGTATACCACAGATTGCTCCTGTAGCCTGGTAACCCATCAATCCCAATCAAGCCCACCACACTGCGGTCTGAACCCGTTGATCATTACAAGTGGACTCTCCCTTCTTTTTATAGGCACGGAATCACAATGCCAAGAAATCCGAAGCCTTGGGAATGTGTTGTCCGACTGCCAATGTGTCGCTTAGTACTCTGTAGCTTTTGGTCAAAGCTTGGTCTAGGAGTGTATGGGGTCTTGAAATAGCGAGGGATTAACAGGATCACTGTTGTGATCACTTTGATCATGAGCTCCATCAAATGCTATGTACAAGATGCGCCATAGTTGCACAAATTGTAATTAAACGGTCGGAATCTCAACGCAAGAAGCATGAAGTTGACTCATTATGGGATGTAGGTGTCGAATATCGGTATCTGGGACAGATTGAGCCAAATGTGTCAGATTAACCGAGTCTTACCAGGGCTACTCCGTCGTGAAGGACAACGGCCAAGTAGGTTCCTTTTCTACTTCCTTGTGCTTTTAACCCCCAGTACCTAGCTCTCAACGGTAGCGATCCTTGCATCCGCTTCGATCTCAATGCACTGCAGCGAGTTCTAAGAGTGGAACTCAAGAGGAGCGATGCCTCACGCATGATAAACAAGAAGTCGTTTTTGAGTTTACTGCAAGGACTGTTGATGTTCCTGGCATGGTGAGTACCCACTCGGCCCATCACTCTTATATTTCGCGGGGCCCCAGTGCATCTGAAGATATATATGACAGGTCGCATTGACATTACCACACCGTTATTAAACTCAACTCTTCCTCCTGATGGGCCTATTTTTGGACCAGTGAACGAAGCTGGAAAGAAAGAGTTGCACTTCAGACTTCAACATAAAATTCAGAATCAGTCGGTAGGAGTCTTTCTCGCTAGTGCAAGTCACATGCACAGACCTAGAGGCATTATATCGCCATCCACATTGGCTCGGTAGGTACTGCATCGTGTTGGACAAAGCTTCTTGGTCCAAACTTCTATTGACTTGTATTGCCAGACATGCACCATGGCCTTTCGCCACAGAGCTGTATCATCAGACATGATCTATTCACATAAAAAGCTACTCGCCTCGCTGGGCCTCGAGGTCCTTCCACCCAGCAAAAGCCGGGACATCATCGCAGTCTCTCCATCCCCAAGCAATGCAATAATGCCGTGCAAGCAACTGCCACTCCTCCATCTCATCAAGCATCTCTAGCGCAGAAACTCTTTCCTTCTCATCGTCGTTGACCCACCGCTGCCAAATAAACTCAATATCAGCTGCAGCCTGGCCATCCCTAAAGCCCTGATCTTGGAAGCGGCCTCGCTGCGCCTCAAGCGACGCATACCTAGGGAGGGTTTTGAGCTGAATCCCTCGCGCTGCAAGGTTCGACACCATTGTCCGACCGAAGGCATCATTCGGCCGGATGGGCTCATATAGAATCAGTCCGAGCGGAGTGACCTTCGCCTGTGCCTCCTGCAAGATATCTCCAGGCCCGGATACTGCATGCCCATGACCAAAAAGGCGTTGTGTGAAGAACGTAACAACCTGTTCCGCTTCAGTGGGTGATAGATAAACCAAACAGCATTCAGAAATCAGCAGAGTCGGCAATCCCGTCTCAACGCCTGGCAATGCTCCAGCAGGGTCACTGCATGTCGAAAGCGACCGCAGATCAACTGGGTGAATGTGGTACGAGGGTGAATGCAGCGCATCCCCGGCCTCCGACACGGTAATTCCAGTATCCTTTTCCGACGAAACCTCTGACGAGTCAATCCCCAGCGCGGTCTGCAGTACAGGCGCCGATCTAATCGCGCGGATTTTCTCCGCCGTATTTACGGCGAAATCGAGCTCGTGGTAAACGAAGTCCGGGGTTTGACGCGACGACAGAAGTCGGAAGACGCGCGTGTCCGACCCAGCGCCTAGAGATATGATTTGTTTCTTATTTTGTTTCTTATGTATATTTTCCGGTAAGCTCGGGCCGAGGAACCGCGCCACGAGCTGGTCGATGGCTGTTGTGCGGGCGTAGGTTCCTGGCGCGCGGGGAGATGTCCCGATCAGCCATGGGCTCCCATCTCATCAGGGGTAGAGTTGCTTGAGAAAATTGGCTCACCTCTGTTGATAATTGGCAATCTTCGCGTCGCCGACCCGGCGGGTGTCAATGCTGCTGCGTATGCGTCCTCTAGGTAACCTAGCTCGACGGCGCTGAGGCGGGATACACTTGCGTCATTGTCTGTACCTTGGACGATGCGATCTTTTCCAGAAGGGGGCCCGATTTCTTCTGTGCGACCTAGACCACGACCACGGCCTCGGCCTCGTCGGAGAGTGTTTAGGTTGGGAATGTGAGAGGCCATGGGGAATGGAGGAAGCTTGGAGCTTCGGCGTCCGTGGTGGGGTAGCTACTTGCCCCGGTGGGCATGTCAGTCAATTTTGTGATTTCATCGTCTATTATCTCCAAGTCAGTTTCACAATACCACCTCTTTTTCAAATTGTTCATCTACATCGCTCCCCTTTTTTGATCGACTCATGAATTCTGGCTGGGTATGTCCAAATTGAAGAAATGAAGTACACTAAATATCTCGAGTTCAACATTTACTGCAACGATCTTGCTCCCTATTGTCAATGCCGCCAAGTTATCACAGGGCCGTGCCTTTTCAAATGTCCCAAACACAAGCCCCGTGCCATTAGATGTACTGGTAGAGCTGCCATTAGACCTGCACCTAAGCCAACTTACCCTTGACAAAGGTAATAGCCTGTGCACCATACTCGGCTCCGTAGCCCTGGTGGGTCGCGCCGTTACTGCCGTTGCAGCAGTACGGATCCGTGGAGTCGCAGTATGATTGAATCTTACTGGCCGATGGACAAGAGAAGCCAGAAGGACGTGCGTCGAACTATATCTCTAGTATCAGATGCAAAGTTACTCGTCCAGGGGGGAGGTATGGGGAAGTACATACACCTCCAGCAGCACAAGTTCCAACATCATACGAAAGTCCTGCCATATACAGCGGATCACCCATGAAAATTGCTGCCTTGACCATGTTCACAGCGGATGTCGACAGCTGGACCGCGGTGTTTGTGTAGCCTTGGTTTGGGACGCCGCCGCCGCACAAGGCTGCATCCATGATTTCACCACCCTAGTTCATCGTAAGAAGTTGGTCTTTTCTATGGAAGAAGAAGAATATGGCTCACCTGAGAATATCCGACCAGAATAAGCTTGGTCGATGGACACTGTGTATTATAGGAGTTCACAGCCGCGGCAACAGCTGCAATGCCCTGGGCAACTGAGTTCGAGTAGCTCACGCTGCCGCAGGATGATTGTCCACCACATGCAGGATAGCTGATGGCCTCGGCCGTGGAGCCTGAGTAGGCGCCGAGGAGGCCATCTACAACTGTTCTGGATGAGCCGTATCCGGGAGATACGGTGGTCTCGCGCGCGCCGAAGATGTGGACGGCCGGGCAATTGATACGTTTCTTGATGTCCACCTCAACCGGGACGGCGAGGGCGCCGCCGGCAAGGAGGCAGAATTTTAAGATCTTGGAGATCATGGTGTCAATAGATATCAATCAAAACTTGAACAAGCTGGCTTTTGCCTTGGATGGGATTGCGTGTGCAAGTAGATTTGATGTTCGAATTGCCGGGATCACGGTTGCTTTACCTAGATTTAGAATGCCCCTTTGCAACTGGAGTGAGAAAATCTTTGCATTTTGCCATATAGTAGGTTGCCAGGAAATTAGTAAACGTGTCCCTTTCGACCGAGCGGGGCTTTTTGCCTAGTACTCGTTTTGGGAATGAAATTTCATGACAGAATCGCCAGGATCAGCCGTGAAGAAATGGAACAGGATCCACAATTAGGCTGAATCAACCAGTGTATAGATTTGAGTAAGGCTGGAATGGCTCGGAAATGACAGGCCATTGGATGCGTTGAAATTGTGACCCGCCTGCAGATACCTTGTGGTAGGTCTCCGCGTTGTTATAGGCAACTAAGCCGCAGATCTTTCTGGGGTATGCAACCGGGATCCTCGCTTTGACTAGGTAGGGCGAACTTGAGTTCTTCATATGCATTTCGGCACAAGAGCTAAGCCCATTCCCAGGACCAGAGACAAAATCAGAGAACTAACTGTAGTGATGCCATTGCCCAGATATGGTCTCACAGCATGGCCATCGAAGATAATCGGGCCAACTTCCCAATCGGTGATGGCTCGAAACGAACTTGTTTCATTAGCCTCAGTTAGCTAGTTGGTTGTAAAGATTCAAAATGCAGAGTGCTAGAGGTGGCCAGGTGGCCCCCTATATCCCTGATCATGATGGATTCTGAAATGCCGAAAATAGGATTCTAGAATGCGATTTTCACAACTATCGACCGACCCCGAGAGCCCTGCCCGATGTTTCTCGTGTCAGGTCTCTTTGATATGTACAATTGAGCTGGAATAAAGTATCTAAACATAAACAAAGTTGTTTCGGCAAAGAGGACAAGTGCTTTGGTTGCTGCTCTTGAACCAGCGGAACAGACAGACCGAGTGGAAGGTGTTCTTGCAAGTGGCACACCGCTTGTTCGGTGTCTGCATGTCTGTTGAGATAACAGAATAACAGATGGCACACTCACTCTGGCCTTTCAGAGCGCCTTGGACGTTCCGTCGGAAGGCCAGCAAGCCATCAACCAGGTTACCGTTGGCAAACATAATCACTCCCTGGATCGTCAGCAGCCAGCTCTTCCATTTCTTCTCATCCACGAGCACGCGACTGCGACCGACAACCAACGCAGGTTGAAGCGGGTACGCGGGTGGAAGAGTGATAGAAATGGCAACTGGAGGTGACTCCTCGTCGACTGGAATGCTGGCAATGATTTCGCCTGTCTTTGGAGAAATCTTCACCTCCAGGGCGCGCTCTTCGTTTGCATCCTGGGTGGCAATCCAGTCGGTCACACTTTTGAGTGCATCTTCTACGACGAGCGGGGAGATCTGGGAACACTGTTAGCTATGGTTGCTCGTATAAAGGGGCCCACTACCAAAGACCACTGACGTATCTTTCCGACCAGGCTTCTACCGGACCCTTGATGCGTTTCTTGGTGTCAATCCACCAATTCTTGGTCATGTTGGCAGAGTATCTCATACACAGATAATACAAATGTACCAGGAGCCATTGTGTTTCCTTTTCGGCACTCTCGGACTCATCTGGCTCAAATGATCGAATTTCAAGTTTGGATGCATCGATCATCTTTCCGTGCGATTTTTGAAGGAAATCAAACGTGAATTCCAGCAGTGGAGTGAGGATATTGTTCTCTCTGATGCTTGACATGTAGTATTCTTGGACAGGAAGCGACTGATCGGTCCGTTAGCAGACTGTTCTCAACAGTTTGTTGCAGATAAATCAAAACTTACAGCATTTGCGAAATGATCGAATACCACCTTCCAGCTGAGAAGATATGCCCGCACACTGGTCCACATCTTGTCATCTCCATAGGCAGCAGAGACCATTTGCATTGTCGGGGGTTCAAGCAATAGAGACACAAGCTCATCAGGAAGGCTGACTGCAGTCTTTGACAAGGCCACCTCAAAAGATACCTTCTCCTGAGCATGAGGAATATAGTGATGGAGAATTGTGTAAGCAGTTCGCTGAACTGCGCGACTGTGCGCAGTCAAAAGATGGAACGTTTCACTGACATCCTCCAAGTTGTCAACGGGGATAGTGTTCATCAGGCGTCGTAATAAGTCAACAGCAACATCCCGAGGTTGGTGGAATGTGGTTGAGGAATCTATATTTTGTTAGATCTATCAGTGATGAGAGAAACCTAAAGCGCTTACCAAACGTGTCAATGGTGGAGGCCAGAGCATTGAAAAGACCAGCCTTTCGATCTGACCAAGCATCTTGAACATCGTCGTTGCTGTCACTTTCTGAGATAGACTTCAATCGTGCGAATAGTCTGAAAGACGAGACCAGCAATGGCAAAGCCTCTTCGCCTCCATTGGTTCCCTGCAGCACAGAGCTTAGAACACCCATGCTTTCCTCCCAATGAGATCCATAAATTTCCCCAAGAGCTGGAAGGACAAGAGACAAAGTTTGGATGACCTCGGATTTCAAACCAAGAGACATAGAATCCGATTGAAGACATTCAATCAAGTTCTTGGTGAGGAAAACCAATCGTTGTGTTGGAATAGTGGAGACAACCTCTTCTTCCCCGGACAACAAGATATTCAACAAAGCCAGCTTCCGCAATCCTGCGCACAGTTAGTTTTGGTACTATTTTTGCTAGTGTGTCGTCAGACACTTACCAATTTGGGAAGGATCCTGGGGCTTGAGTCCAGTGGAGTCGGCGATTAGCTCATTACAGATTCTGTTTCCGATGGGATTTGAAAGTATGGAGCTTCGCAACACAGCAAACCACGATGCCGAGCGGATGACATTAGCCGTTCGTGCCTCTCTACAGATCTTCGCAACGTCCTCCGATGATTTGGACTTTTGCAATGAGTCCGCAACGGACATTATCTTGACGAAGGCTTCGCCAACCCTGTAGTCCAAGGGAGATGTACCCTTTAGATCCTCTAGTCTGCTTTCCCAAAATTCGGCAAACGAAGATGAAACGGTCTTCTCGGGTGCGAAGCTGACTGGTTCATTGTCACGAATCCAATTACCGACCACCTTTCGGCCAGCGAAAACAATCTCCATGTACTCTTCTCGCTGATCAGCCAGCTCTAGACCTGAGATGCCGTTGCAATTCTCAATACTCAAATCATCATCTATAAGTTGAATTGCCAAGGGCAAGAAATGGAACAAAGTCTCTAGATCCCCCTGGTCCAGATATTTCAGTATCTCAGAAGTAGAGAGAACGCTGACAGTGAATATTGCCAGGCGGAATGCAGAAGAGCGATGGTCTGAATCGCGGGGAATAGTCGGCCATAATGCCTTGAAGGAGTCAGATAGTTCACGCTGGACCAAGTGAACAGCGCCTCCTAGGGGACTTGTTATAGCAGTGGAAGAGCGAGGTGGAAGTTGAAGAAAGGGTGTCAAAGATTCCTCCCATGAACGGCGAGACGGCAAAAGATCCTTCACGGTACCAGTCGCGCCTTCAGCCGTAAGGCCTGGCAACAACTCCTCTGCGATAGCAAGAAGTGATTCAATCCTGAACCGGAGTTAGTTCATTTTCCTGCAGAAAATATGCCAATGGAGCACTCACGACAATGATTCTTCATCCACATGACTGAATCCATGTTGGAGGATTTCTATGCCCGACTTGGCACTCGTATCACCAACTCCAGATTCTTTAAATGATTTTAGCAACGCTTCCGCTAATCTTGCCACCTCTTCAGTTGGTGATTCTGTGAGGAAAAGTAGCTTTCCTGCTAATTTCGATCCAAGAGTTCCATTCTGGAACTCTCGAACTGAAGATGGTGCAGACTTTCCGATATGAGAAAGTCCATGCAAGACATCAAAGACTTTATCATCTGAAGATAACGACTCGATCAAGTATAAGAATATCTGATCCCTCAGTTCGTCTTGTGATGTTTTATTTTGAAGAACTGCAGTGATGATAGGCCAATGGGCATGGCTTCCTTTGCAAGCTTTGCCAAGAGCCCGTACAATTAGTGAGTTGAGCTTCTCTTTATGCTCGGCATAATTGAAATCGAGAGAGAAAAGTAAGCCTTGGAGTACATGCACATTGGACTGCTCTGGCTCCAGGGCCAAGGCTCGTTCAACAACGTTTTCGAAACTGGATGCAAATCCATCCCACTCCCGACACTTCAAGATAATTGAAATCAATCTATCAGCAGATGGCGAAAGCAAAAGCTCCGGTACGTCATTTTGCACGAAATTCTGGAGGTCTTGAGACTTTCTAGCGACATGAGGTAGGCTGCAAACACACTCCACTACTGTAGCGGCAGCTCCATACGGTTTCCCATTTCGGTTGCGCAGGACATCGAGACAACCTTCGAGAAGAGAAGTGCTTGTTCTGTCAAAGACCTCCAATACTTGAGGCTCGACCTCGGTATCTGCAACCCGTGAGAGGACAGCAGACTCCAAATCCAAGAGGCGTTTGGATTGGGCACATACTGAGTCTTGAGATTCACGGAAGTCCTTTGATTGTTCTGGAGACGATAGCTTCACGGCTTCAAGCAGCCCATCGGAAAGGCATGTACACAATAATTGCAGTTCCTGGGTTTGCTTAGTGGAAGCCAGAGCGAGAACACAATCCACACAAATTCCTTCGGCCAACTCGGCCGGAAGTGACCACTGTGTCAGCTTTGGGTCAATTTTCACATACTGCACCACCAAAGGAGACAGTCTCTTCGCGATGAAGTCGGACTTTTGCTCCTGGGGGACCAATGTTGAAAGCCATGTGCCTATCTGGATGTAGGATTTCCATCCGATGGCGAGGTTTGAACGCGGTTCTTCTCTCGAGTTGAGGCCTTCTTGCAAAGCCTCAGTCAAGGCAATAGCGCTAGTACAGGTGATTCCATGGTCAGCAGTGGCCTTGTCGGCACCTGCTAGCACTTCTTGGGGGGTAATTCGAAGTAGTTGGTCTAGATTTGACCAAAAGTTGGAGTGCCCA